TACTTTTCTGCCGACTCCATAAAGGAGACGGTACTCAATTCGACTGTATGTTTCTTTATGTGTGTTACCTTAACTACCTAACTTTTTACAGGGTGAACCGATTCCGATGATTCTTTTTTCATTTGAAAGCTTGTACTTCATATGTGGTCCAATATGAATTTGATCAAGGTCAGACCAATAGTTTTTGTGTTATTCTTAATAATTTATATTGAAGTCAGCTGTACAAAATTTTTAATTTTGAATTATAGTATGACTGTTCGATATTATATGTAGTAATGGTTTTATATGTAGTTTGAGAAAACAACAGATCGTAAAGGGAAACGAATCGTTTCGTGTTTATGGAAACAGGGCTATACTAATTACTACTTGTAAACATTGCTGTGTATCTTTGTTTTCACACGTCTTATAATTCATCAACAGGGCTTTTAAATCATTAAAAGCACATGCAACATTTCAAGATAGATGATCTTGAATATTCAATATATTCATTAACCGAACAAACCTACTTAAAATGTTCTAATAATCACTTGATGTATTATTAAAACATTTGAGATCAAGGCGTTTCATATGACGTTTACCAGATGTGAAATATTCCTTACTTTATCTGAAGTACGCAATTAAACCCGTAAGTGATTTTTGTTGGAGATCATATTATAGTGTATAAACATAGGTTTAAAAACGAATAACAATCAGAAGCGAACTAACAGTACCGAGTCGTAGCGCTGTTGTTTAGCTTCCATGTAGGTGAGATTAATCAAGTTTTTTGTCGACTCAAGAAGCATTCTGCGATTCCTTATATTTCAAATACAAGACGCATAATCATATTAATAACGGAAAAAAGTACGTAAATGGAATGAATAAATTTAAAGATTTTCCAAAACTCATAGCGTCCTTCTAACGCTCCGTGGCGCAGTGACTTAGTGGGGGCCGCGGGTTCGAATCCCGCACGGAACAAGTATTTGTATGGCCTACAAATAATTGTTCCGGATCTGGATGTTTGTCCTCGTGCAATTTATGTTTGTAAACTGCCTCCACGATACAGGAGAAAATCCTAGTGTGGAGGTAACGCCTTTTAACTAAAAAACAAAAACGCTATAGTGGAGTATTGTTCAGACATAGACTGATTAAAACTGAATGTCACTAATTTAGTAGTAATTTACTAAAAAGTGAAAAACTTTTTTTATAGAAGTAAGGGTGACTAACGAGCACACAGTCCAGCTGACGATTATGATGGTAAATGAATGCTGTGGCCCGTTAACAGCAGAAATTCTCTTCAGTTCTCCACACTCGCTATACAAAACACAGTATACTCTGCACTCTCTCACAGTATGCTGCTATTTTGCATGGACTCTGCTGCTGACGACAAACTGCCGTGAATTAACAGACATAATTTTATATTATCATTTAGTGCGTGGAAACAGAAAGAGAGCGCAAAAAAGACTACGAAGCGTCTTGCTATTCTATTTCTTGTATAATTTTTCTTTTGTTTTTCTCTATGGTCTTTCTTATTTTATTTCTACGATTGTATATTACTTTCAAATGTAAAAAAACACTTTGAATATTAATACCTATATTTGTTTTATTGTTTAATCATTCTATTACAACTGAAATGACATAGACATAAAACTGAAGTAGAGATGAAACGCGCGCGGTTATTTAGATATGTTTAGATCCATTAATATACTGAAAAAATTATATTTTTCATAATCTGTGGCAATATTGAACTATGATCTCACTTCAAAAGATATTAGGGTCAATATGGCTAGTGGCTACTATTAAAAATAACTGACCACATCACTGTGATTGAAATTGGCAGGACTTCATAAACATTTATTTTACTTAGAGTCTGTTTTTCACTTTAAATTGCGCAGCACATACCGAATTAACTATTGCTATAAAGTACTATTTATTGTCGACCCACGCGTTCGGTATTACACACTTATAAGCGCATACGTGGGTGTACCCGCTCTCCGTTTACGGTTGTGATTGTATCATTGAGCGGTTATTCAGCATTAAAACATTTTAGGTTTAAATAAATTAAACTTAATGCTGCTGTGTTTCGTATGGTGAGTGTAGAGAACTGGAGTCATTCCATCGTAGTCCTCAGAGGTGACAACGAATCGCAATTTTAATTCTTAATTGAGAATAGATACATCTAAGTATATGGGCCAAAACATTCACATACCATGAGGTGGACTGAGCTCGTTTTTTTTTTCTATAAAAAAAAACCTATTTCGTATAATCTAATAAACCATAATAAACACAAACAATAATTGTAGACTATAGTTTAAAGTTAACAAAATCAAGGTTTATATTATTATGTTCAGTGGTATATTGCGTGCAAATCTGCTGGTCTGAGAACATGCAGTGGGATAACGCGACGGACTACGCTCTGGTACCTTCTTATAATGGGATGCAGCCTGTGCTCCGTAGTGTGACGTATAAATGATTATTTATATATGTACATCTATAATGTCGTCTATAATGCACATGCATAGTGTGTGTCCGTCATTCCATCTTAATGACGAAAATGTGAGATACAGTAACTCACCGAATCCAACTTCAAACCCAACTCACTCACGAATGAAATTGCTAGTTGAAATTTTAAGCACTGTTTTACTTGAAGTCACGTTAATAGTCAATACCGTATTGAACCATCGCAGTGGACTCTTATTGCTTTCAAACTGTCATAGAAATATTGGAGAGATGGCCTTATATTAATTATAATTAGAAGAAAAAACAGGCAGATGTCACAAAGAGGACAAATCTTCTAGGTGGTGTAGGATTCCTTTTCAACCTAAAAGTCCGTCTGGAATGTAACCACAGAACCATGATACATTCCACTAAGGATTTTAATCTATTATGTGTTCTACCAGGTTGCGATGTTATTATTTTTAAATAGACAGCTTTACATAAATTAAATTAATAAATCTTAATTTACTCGTTTATATTCATAACTTATACACTATAAACCGTATAAAACTAATAAAAACATGAACGCTAATTTCTTGACGCAATAGATAAGATATTATACGTAGAGATTAATACATACATAATTTAAACCTAATTTATACACTAAATAACGAAGAATTTTATTTGAATTAGACGTGCTCACAACAGTGAGACGAATCCTGTCCCTTTTAAATTAATGTTATGTACTGTACTGTTATCGAATAACAGACCCGCGAACCGAATCGAACAGGGATCAAGTTTACGGATGGGATAATGTTAAGTTAATATATTATATCCTTTCTAAAAATTGGATAAATGAGATTACTCAGTCTAAGGTTCAGTGGCGTGGTAAGTTAAAATCCATTTGCTACAAATGGATAACTTTGACCACAATAAATAAGGTTAACTTAAACTGACATAGTTGTGATTCTATACGTTGGACATTTTTAGGACCAAGTAGAGTCTTTATTTTGATGGGATACTAACGATTTATCGATGGTATTCATTCAAAAAGAGCACTGAATTTGATCGACAGACACCTGCATGACCTAAACTGATTCTTAACAAAGAACAGCTGGAGGTTTACCGTCATCCATGACGTCTATATATGTAACGAACCATGGCATGTATTATAAGTAATTGGTTCTGGTTATATATTGAGCAATATTTTATTTAAAAAAACTTACGTTTTCAAAATATTTAACCTCTATCATTCATGAAATGACATTGACACCTAAGAAGCAAGGGGCCGCCTTTACGCAATATGGGTCTTACTGTTTGTATGTTATTCAAATTCCCTAGCACAAGCACTTGCCGGCCTCCGTGAGGTCCGGCGTGACATAACACGGTGACATCACACTTGTAAATTAGGAAAACGGTCGCAAAGCGTGTGGAAGCATCGAGAATTATTGCAATTATTTGCGTACTTAATCACGGCAAATCCACAGATTAAATATAATAAACCTATTTTACATGTAATACGATTATTTTTTTATATTCTAAAGTTTATAGACAATAAGGCGAATTAAAAATAAACAGCAGTTTAAAGCAACTATTTTTGTATAGTAAGAAAGGAGATTAACGCGCTAAATTATTTTTTTTTATTAATAATTATGTTAAAATTTGTTTTTTATTTTATAGCCGACTTTTAACGTCCTTATATCGTACCTATGACGTAATAGATCGCGTCATCGTGGTTTCATCTCAAAGGTGAAAACGAGGTTATTAATACTATTTTATATGTTTCCAGGTGTTTTCAAATAAAATTGTATATTTATGTGTGCGACTTGTAAATATTAAAAATAATGAACAATGGTTAATGTGAATTATATTCATTCATTTATTCATTACAGCCTATTAAAGTCCACTGCTAAACATAGGCATCATATGTTGATTGCATATTAGGGGGATTTCTAGTCATATCTGCAACGCATGGCGGTGAGTTGGCAACTGCATTTTTTTATTATTATGAGGTGTTATCGGGTAGATCAGGTGGCTCTTGGTAATTTCCTTTTTTATTTCCGTCTGCCGCCTCTTATGATACACACGGAATGATATGGGGTAATGAATTCTCGTACGCTGCCACTAGCTACAGGATATTGTAATATGTATATTGAAAAATATAGACGGCTCCGTGGCGTAGTGGCTTAGTAATAAGTTGCAGCGCCAAGGGCCGCCGGTTCGAATCCCGCACGGAACAAGTATTTGTATGGCCTACAAATAATTGTTCCGGGTCTGGATGTTTGTCCTTGTGAAATTTATGTATGTTAACTGCCCCTACGATACGGGGAAAATCCTAGTGTGTAACGTTTAAGATATATTGATATATTATTTGCCGTTGCAGATTCCGAAAATAATTATATAAATAACTTTCGTCATTTATTCGAACTGTATTATCAAATTTTATTTCGGTAAGATGAAATTGGTTGCAAAATATTATTTCCTACCTCATCCATTGCTTGTAGTCTCTTCGTAGTTCTTTTTACTAAAATGTATTCTTTCGTATTTCCTATAAATAATACTGCATCGTGAGCAAAACGAGCACTTACCAAAGTAACGATATCTGCCGGATTCGCGGCCGCTATCCTCCTCAGCCTCTCGTACAGCATATCGAGCAGCCTCTGGTGCTTGGCGTTGAGCTCGTCCAGCTCCCTGGCCACGGCGTCCGCGCCGGGCACGGCCGGCCCACGCTCCGGGGAGCCGGTGCCGCGGCGCCGCTGCTGCGCCGCCAGCTGCGCGTCGGCCTGGCGCCGCAGCTGGCGCGTGTCCAGCGACGGGTGGATCTCATCGCACAGCCACTCCGCGTAACGTTGACACCTCGACGCGTGGATCTAATTTTTTGCTTGGTTAGTGTTTAATTAGGTTAGTTCTTAACGGACCGTTTTTAAATTTCGAACACTTTTTTTACAATAGAAATAATTTAAAATTTTTGTTTTTAAAAGCAAAAAAAAAAAGATATACTACTCTTTTAAAAACGGTCCGTTTTTGGTTAGGCGTTTAAATTAGATATTTAATTTAAGCTTTTCATAAATTATTCCTCACACACGCTTCCGGCACATTCATTTTAATTATATTGTCTGTGTTTGTGAGACGGTTCTTTTTTCGGTCTTTCGCTCATCAACATTCAATAAAACTTTCATAACCATCCATTCATCAAAAATATTAATAATTTTTCTTTTATGTCCAGCTTTATAGTCTCCCAGGGCTAATTTCATGCTGGGAAAATTTATTCTACAGGTTTTCACAAGCGTGCAAAACCCAAGCTAAGTGCTTAGTGCGTGTGTTTTCAAATGCTCATTTCACTTTCGTGCTTCTATATTCATATCTTCAATAATTGTAATATTTTTCCTTATACAAATTTCTTTTATTTTGTGTAGGCAACACTGACACTCAAACAATGCATGCAAAGCGATTTCTATTGAAAAGAACAATAACCTCACATGAATTTCAATAATTTTGAAGACCGTTTCCATGTACTAGAAACCTATTTGTAATTCAAATTATCGTCCATATTTAAAGATGTATGGTAGCACATTGGCAATACAAATTTTATTTTGCTTTAGCCCCAAGCCGTATGATTGAAAAAATATAGCAGTAATATGTTGCTGTTTTATATGAAAGAAAAAAAGTTTCCCACAATCACACAAACTCATTCATGATTGATTTTAGTAATACCAGCATTCCAGTCAAGCGTTAGAGACTTAGAAGTGTAAAAAAAGCAGAAATTATTTAAAAAAAAGCCTTTTTTTTTAATTGCAGTCATTAGTTTTTTCTACAAGATATTTTTTATAAAAGCAGTGATAGTGCTCAAAATTGCGCTGTAAAAATGCATGCGCTTAAAAAAGACAAAATGGACCAAGTAGAACCTCCGCTATACAAAGAGACCTTGGAAAAAACCCAAAACAGAAAGACGAACGAGAGGAACGAGCAAACCGGGGAAATATGCAAGGGAAGAAAGACTCTGGACCGAATCACGCTTAAAACCTTTCACAAATTAAAAAAAAAACAACATTAAGGAATCAAACGTTTTTTTTAAACTAGCGTTAAGTGGAATTTATTTTTTAATTATTATTGCATAACTCAAACGGATAGTAATAAATTTGCAATATAGAGCAAATAAGGTAAAATTAAAATATGCAAAAAAATGTTGCCTACAAAATTCCATCTATTTGGAAACAACAAGAAATTCCACAAAACGCCTAAAGTATAAAAGTCACCTGTATATAGTTACCTTAGCCTCACGTATAAATCTTCCGCCGTCTACATTAACCTTCTCTATCTTTGGTGTCCTCTCAACGACACTTGTAAGTAGAGTCTGCAAAAAAAAAATGGTGTCATTGTCCTCTTGGTTGGTTTTGACCACAGTGTCAAAATCAATTGAGCATTCATATTATAGTGTCTCAAATGCAGGCGCTAACCCTGGACTAGGAGTTCACTGCTGGACATAGGCGCCTCCTGTGGTATTGAGGATTTGCTTTCAATCGTCACGCTTGGTACACGGATTGACGATAGCACCTTGGATGCTCTGTTTGTCTGTCTAAAGCAGGGTTTCCCAACCTTTTTTTGACCAGGGATCACTTTGACTTTTTTGTACGTAGCAGGGACCACAAGGTGATAAAAAAACTGTGTTAATCTAACAATAAATTATAATCACAACTTTTAACATAGGTATATAATAAATTGAAAGGGAGCAATCATTAACAGTATTTATTGTAAAAACTCGTAGGTACTTACTAACGTGACGCGCGATATTGCACTGCCCTCATAAAATATTTAAATCTCTCGCGGACCATATCACTGGTTGGGAATCACTGGTCTAAATATTTCAAGTCTGATATAAACGAGAAAATTATACCGGCATCTATTACCTTCGAAAAAGATAACTCTCCCTAAGATACTCGTGCCCAATCTCACACACTACATACAAACACAATTAGACCAGTAAATCAGTTTTACCTAAGAGCAGTCTGTCTGGTCTATCCTTTTATATATTTTACACAAGTGTGACATGGACGTTACACATGATCTTTATTTTGTCCGTTTTCATCTTAAGACCTATCCGTTGGGAGGCACTATTGGGGTCATTGAGGTCATTGAGTATAGTGCTTAGGTCCTCCATCGATTCTGCCATAAAGACTATATCGTCGGCAAATCTAAGGTGAGTGATGTACTCACCATTAATGTATATCCTTTCCAGTCCAGTAAATTGAAAACGTCTTCCAATGCAGCGGTGAAGAGTTTCGGGGAAAAAACGTCACCCTGTCTTACATCTCGCTGCAGTTGGATGGGTTCTGTACTCTGGTTCTGTACTCGGATAACCATCGTAGCCCTATTGTACAGATACTTTAGCACTTCGATATACCGACCGTCAACTTGGCACCCTTGAAGAGATTGTAGCACCGTCCAAATTTACTATCGAGGTCATTGAACATATAGTCCTTATGGCAGAATCGCTGGAGAACCTAAACACTATCACCAGGCTATAGCACCAGTTTATGTCCTGCTGCAACCCCGTGCGGCAGTTGGCATGTGATACTCACGCGGGTGGGCTCCAGGTGATGTTCCTTGGCGCGCGGCTGCTGCTGCAGGCGGCTGTAGGTGCCGTCCACCCAGTCCACCTCCTGCTGCAGGCCCGTGCTGTAGTTGCGGAGCATCTGGTACGCCGCTTCGAGACTTCGCAACCTGTTGCGAAGCACAATGACGTAATTAGTGGATTAGCTCGGGTTTGTATTATATTAGTCATTTCATGTTATCAAGTACGTAATAAATAACTGTAGAAATGTAAAGTGAGAATTATTATTTGTTAAATTAACATAGTTATTACTATAATAATTTAAGATTTTTTTTAAATAAAATATAATAATATACTAATGAGAAATATCTAGTCGCCATACTGGTGGACACGTTTTTATATAAAAGAATGCTATTGAGAAAGGACGTATTTATACTTAACTGTCACTATTTTGTACTTTTTATTTAACTTCTTTAGATAATTGAGTACACCACCCTTTTCTACATTCTATCATACATAAAAAAGAGAAAGAAAACATACAGTCGAATTGAGTACAGTCTCCTTTTAGAAGTCGTGAGAAAAAGGTCTTGTGCCTGAATTCAATTTATTTTTATACCAAACAACTTGGGACGGCTTAAAATCTTTTATTCGAAGTTGTCGTAAAAAACTTTAAAACTATTTTAATATTAATTTATACATAATTAAAAGAATGGTAAAGTTTTCTCAATATAGGAATAGGTAATAAATGTATTCAGATTCCTTAAATGTAAGAAAAATGTTTAACGAATGCTAAAAGTACCAACCTTTCCGCCAGCTGACTGCACACACTATTCCACCTATTGTTCAGCTGTGATACTTCTTTATCCAGCCTTTCTAGGTCTACGTGTTTCCCAGCCCTGGGCAGTGAGGTGTGTGGCAGCCCAGCCCTCGAGCTCTCCACCAAACGCCTGCAGTTCTCAGCGTCGTCGTTCATCTGATCGATCTGGATCTGTTGCTTGCTGACCGCCACTTGCATACGTAGCAGGTCTTCGTGCATCTGTTGGAGATGTTAATTAGTAAAATGGATATATTTAATTAGATATCGAACATAACGGATGCGTCATTTTATCACATATAAAAACTCATAGGTCGTACGACAGTTTAATGTAATTTTGATAAACGTGCATTGCGAAACTTGCTTGTGTTTTTAAGATAAAAATACAACATTCCTAATGGGATACACTGGCGGCGGCTTCTACATTCTATGAGGCAAATGTGTGCATAATTTTTATTTAATTATTTTTTTATTTGTATAGCTAAAACATTGTTAGGGTACGATGAGACTGTTATCGTTAGCCTGTGTATAAAAGTCCCTAAATAAAATTATAAAAAATACCACGGGATACACTGCACGGTAATTAAATTATTAAAATGTATTAAGCAATTCGTAGTGAAATACTCTTATTTTTCTATTAAAAAAAAGAAATAATCTATGTTACATAAAAACGTCATTATAACTACAGCCAATCTCAAGTCCACAGCTGAGCAATATAATTATTATGTATAATTAGTTCCACCGAAACAGTTTTATAATTTGAACTGAAATACGTTCGGTGATCCAGAGATAACTTATATCTTATATGTTTTTAATATCAAGCTTAGCTTTGCTTGGGTATTATTGTGCCGTTGGGGCGTAATCGTAGGCGTATCAGGCGTAGGACAGTTGCCTTGGACCACAAAAATTCAATAGATGGTGGCGCCATCCATAATTTGTTTCTAAAAAAGTTTTGTTTATAGTTGGCTTCACAGATGTCGCTACTTTAAAAAAATTAAATTAAATTTGCTTACAAAATAAAAATAAATGCACCAAAAATTTATTGGTGATTTTAATAATAACAAATTATCATTTTAACAAAAAATACGTAATGATTATCAAATCAATAGATAAATATGACAGTTATGATACTGGCAACCAGCATAATATTATAATAAAAAATGAAAAAAAAAATGTAATAATTGTCATACTAAATTGTCATTCTTGTTTCATTGCAAATAAATCATTTTTATATATTATTATATACCCTATTTGTAAATACAAGTGTATTTATTGAAACTATTTCACCTACTTTTAATGTTAAAAGTATAAATTAGTATTACAAAAAAGTAGGAACTGTTTCAGTACATAATTATACGAATTAAAGAATATAATAGCTTAAAGTTCGGAATCATTTTGTATGAGGCGCTAGTAGTTCAATTTTGTCTGCAATAAAATATCTTCAGAGGGCTCTCTTTTCCTGTATATTATATTTATTATACTCTTTGGGTTCCATCACCACATTTAACCTTGTAAATATCATAAAAAGCGACTATGGGTATTGCCGAAAAGTGCGTATGTTTTCCAATAGATGGCGATGTAAATATCATTTTACGCAAAAAGTAACACGTTCGTGATTTTTTATTTATTTATTAAAGGACAGTGCTTGACCACAATCCGTTGGTAGAGTAGTGATAGAGCTCTAGATGGTACAATAAGAATTTACTGAAAAAACAATACTTTAAAATATTGCAGCTTCAAACATTGTTATATCATACGCTATTAATTCATTTTAATTGAAAATATCAATAATAAATGTTATATTTTCGAGAGTATACTACTTCAGTTATACACGTGTTGCTGACACATCCTCCTAAAATAGTATCTATTAGTGTCGTAATATAGTTGAAAATTTAATACTCACGTCCTTCAGCAATTCCACATCGTTGGGCAATTCGTGGAATTGGGCGAGTTTCATCTCGAACTCGGATATCGTCTGATTGTTCTCTTCCATACTGTTCACGACGATCTCGACAAACTTCAACCTGTGAAAAATTATTACAGTTATTTTTTTTTAACTATAAAATGACAGTCAAGACAAATGGAGGCGTTTATATAAAGACAAAAACTTGGCATGATAGGGTTATTTGTAGGGCTTAGCACGGTGTAACAGTCGTTAACTGTTTTGTCGTAATTGACGACACTATTTTGAGCATTTTTATGATGGGTTTAAATCTTAATTTAAATTGAACGATATTATGACAATGTCCTTCGGAACGAATGTCGGTCACGGCGGCCAGCCTCAACGGAGACTAGCCATCTGCGCAGGACAGGATTATACTGCCCAAGTGTATGCGCAAGCCTCTCCTCTCCATACCTTCACTCTCATAGTCCGATGGGACGGTAAACCGATATGACCGGAGAGAGATTAGGTGCAGGACCAACGGCTTGACATGTTTTCTGAGGCACGGCGGTGAGACACCGCCATCGTCCTGGCTGCTACTGCGACTTTCTTGATGGGAAAACTCAACAAATGATTTTTTTGGCCCGACCCGGAATTCGAACCCGGGACCTCAGGATCAAGTCGCGTTATTACAACCACTAGACCAACGAGGCAGTCAATTATATTATACCATCAAATCAAGTAAGTGAGGATTTCACAGGGGAAAAATAAGGTCTTTTTTTGATCTAATGCAGTGCTACAGTTTGATGCCTAAGAAGGCCAATATAACTTTAGGTTGTGCAGCTATATTAGTAGTATAGTTGTAGCGCGAATGGATCAGCTCGACCGGGGAAGGACCACGTCACAGAATACCAACGTAAAATAGCAGCTTTACGCTGCTGTGTTTCGTATGGTGAGTGTAGAGAACCGGAGACCCTTTTTACTGAAAATGAGGCATTCCATCTTAGTCCTCACGAGTGACAACGCATCTGCATTAGGATTTTTAATAGAGGATAAATGTAGATGTCTATGGGCCGCAGCAACCACTTACCATCAGGTGGACTGTGTGCTCGTTTGTCACCCTTAACCTATAAAAAAAAATCTTAGTCGTAGGGTAGTATAACGCATAAGCGGCTCTCTTTGTCTGGAGTCGGTAAAAGGTTTCATGTGGATGCAGTAGCCACTTAACGTCAGGTGGACTGTTAGAATTTTATTCAAGTAATATAAAGTACTAATATTTTTTAAACTAAACAAGCAATAAAAACGATTTATCAACATACCTCTCGACGAACAGTTGGCTCTTTGATTGCATGTCGTTCCATTTGCCGATGACCTTGTCCAGGCTCTTCTTCATAGCCGGGGTCTTAAGGGCGATGCCTGTGTAAGAAGAAAGAGATTTAAATTTAAATATGCTATAGTGATAATAATTTTTGTAAGTATAAGACAATCCACTAGCCCGTATCATCCCGTGGGTGTCGCAAGAAGCGACAGAGGGAAACAAATCAGTAGACGGGCAGCAGCGTCTTGCTAATAACGACTAAAAATAAAAAAACTGCGGTTGTCCTATGAGACAAAATGTGGGGGAAGCTTATGTTTAGCAGTGGATTTTTATTGCCTGTAATGGATGGATGGACGAATGGGTCGTCTCAACCGGGGAAGCATCACGCTCTCACAGCATTCCAGGGTATAATAGCAGCTCTTACTCACCATATGAAACACAGCGGTTAGTTGAGCGGAGAGTATGGCGACTTTAGAGAAACAGAGACCCTTTTTACTGGGAATGAGTCGTCTTAGTCCCCTGGGGTGACAACTCATCTGCAATTTGATTCTCATTCGAGGATAAATGTTGATGTCTATGGGCCACAACACTCACTTACCGTCAGGTGGACTGTGTCACGGACTGTGTCGTGTCATCCTTATTTTATAAAAAAAAATTACGTTCTTAAAACACAAACAGAAAAATAATGTAAAGAACCTAGTTGTACGATGCATACCTCTAAAGGTGTTCTGAACCTCCTCCACATCCCCGGAAAGCGTGTGTAAGCTGCTCTCCCAATCCTTGTGCTGCAGCACCAGGTGTTCCAGTGAATCCAGGTCACGAGGGATGTGGCTCGCGACACGTTCATGTAGCTGTCTCTCAAGCACCTCCAGTCTTTCCAGCAGGCTGGATGATTGCTCTGTGAAGATACGAGCTGCATTCTTGGATTCCTCTGCAAAGAAGATCGTAAAAAGTTAGATAATTGTAAAGACAAAAGAATATTAGTTTCTGCTTATTTTTCATCGGCCTGTAAAAGACCACTGCTGGACTGGTGCTGGGTCTCACGCTTTACATTCACATTACCAGATGTCTCGCACCTTTAACGCTGCTTTCCGTCACCACTCTGGGTATTTTACGCCTGTCGTTATCGAAATAGCTGTACCGTCATCTATTGGAGGTTATGAGATCTTTTTGACCATCCCATAGTTGCCGCTTATGGCATCTAACTGACGAGATGAAGTGATGAATTTTTGTACACCACCAGCACGTGGTTAGTTCTCCGTTTACATTTATTAATATGTGCCAGTGCTAATGGGATAAAATTTAAAAACAAATAATTTCATGTAGTTTTATGAAGAGATGTAGAATAACTTGATATTAGTTGTATTACGAGGTAGGGCTACTTTTCATTTGTAGGATTCGTTTGGTACCAACCTAGTAGAAAGCACTCACTGCTGTACGGTTTGCAGGGCAAAAGAGCTAGCATAATTACAGGCTGTGAAGCTCAAGAGTGGCAACAAATCTGTCAGAGACCTTTTTTTTTAAGTTAGTTACAGGTGTCCATAGGCTGTAGTTGCCACCTACTCTCAGGTGGTTCGTTAGCTAGTTTGTCAGTCAAATATTAGATATAAATATAAATTAAATTTACACCTGAATTATGAAATCTAACAACACAGTACAGAAGCCGAAACAGATATCGTATTTTTGATGTAGACGTAATTTAAAGAAATATTTTTCTTACAATCAATTGCAAATCAAATGGCGATTTGTTTTATGAAGGTCTAGATATTTTAAAATCAGTGTTAAAAAAATAATATACAAAAATCGAAATCAAATTAAAAAAAACATCCGTTACAAACGTAGGTTACAAGTGATCGAAGCAAAGGAATTCTCAATGCAGAAAACCGCAAGTTTATTTTTAATATACAACACGTTGAACAGACGGGTCATTTTAGAAAACAATAGGTTTTTAAAATACTTTTTGTTTTATTTTTCTATAACATATTAAATTCTATTAAGGAAACAACTTTATGCAATCCTAAAAATGTCTGAGACTTGTACTCTACTTTCATTTTGTTGAAAACCACGAATCAGAAAATGTAAATTAATCCACAGAAAGTATCAATTTCACAAATTATCACAACCTGACAACCACACATTTTGCCAAGTCCTTTCTATGGTTCGCTTCCTATAAACAAGAACTGTATTTTTAGGCATTTACACTGTATAAGAGTGGATTAGATTGACACGCAACGATCCACACGCGATCAGATAGCTCAACTGAAAGGCTTGATTAGATCGCTAGATATTGTTACAGTATAAGTTAAACCAATAGACATAAACTTTGAAACTCTAGGAATTAAACTGTGGCGTTCGGTGTTAGTAAAAGTTGCAAAACGAATTAGAAGGTCACAGGTGGACCGTATATCAATTTGGTTGTATTCTTAAAATAAACGCTAAATGACGAATAGGAATTGTTGAGAAGAGTTAAACATCTTAAATTTGAAAAAAAAAAACACTGGATCAATTTATTAGCAGGAAAAAATAACGAAATTAACATTGTGTTTTTTTAGCTTAAAATTCTGTCTGAAAGTTTCTTAACGATAAAATTCGTATGGAATACTCGTAGGTCTGCAAACGACAAGCAATTTCAAATATCAAGTAGGTTTGTGGTCAAACTTTAGTCAATTTATGAATAAAAAAATTCAAGGATCAAGATAGATTTCATTTGCCTGTATATCGTACGTTGCTTTAATTTCGAACCGAATTATATAAAACAGAAGTATATTCTTTCTAAATAAATCTAAATTTTAATAAAAATAAATCAATATTTATATTTAACTAGCTCGCCAGGCAGACGTTGTTCTGCCCTTTCCGACGACCCTTCCTATAAAAATGCTTAAATTCGCAATAAAAAATTTTGAGGGTCATTTATCGGGATAAAAACTATCTTGTCTCTCAAGTTGGACCAAAATGCACATAGTGTGCAAAAAATCAATTCAGTAGTTTAGGAGTCCATCGCGGACAAACAACGTGACACGTTATTTTTATATATAATCTGGTATAATGGAGATGTTTGCATTTAAGTTTGTCAACTGGTCTGTATCAGTCTGTGGCAAACCACCCACTCCAAGATTACAAGACTTCAAATGAACCAAAGAAATAGCAGACATTACTGTACCAATCTGTGGATAGAGGAGAACCAAGGTCAATGGAGTTGACGCTACTGGCGAAAATTGCATGACATCACAATTGAATTGTAGGCCATAAATTTAATTTTATTGAACTCGTTTAGAGGGTCACTCGAAACGTTGAATTATCATAAATGCTTACAATTTTGCAATAAAATCTCTAAAATATAGAGCAATAATGAGATATAAAATTTAAAAAAAACTTGTAAAGGATCTTTGAACAAAAACCTACCACAAAATAGATCAATATATTGAAGTCCGCATTAGTCCTATTACTAAAATGTATGTTAAAAATATTAATATATGTAAACATGTGCCATAATATTGATTTAAATATATGAGTTGTAAAGGGAATTGCATAGCATTTAAAAAATTCGAGAACTCGTTGCTCAGGACTCAGGTTCTTCTATGAGATTGTTGTTTCTTTTTTGAGATTATTTTAAATAGTTAATCATTTGTACCATGAAAGATGAAAAGGACTAATCAACATAACATAGAAGCCATACACAACCTAAACTTATAAAGATATAACGAACTAGCTATTTCGTAAATTATAAGCTTATTATGATTCTCTATGTTGAACTTAGTATTCAGAATACGTTAATTTTTGGCTTATATAATATTGATATTAAAAAGGAGCAAAATTATATATTTCTTTGATGGAAGTTTTTATTGTTTATACTTGGTAATAATACGTAGTTACAAATACCTAAATTACTATTAAATTATGCACTAATAGCAATAAAACCGCAGTGGCTTGCAGCGTGATGAAATATAAGAACAAAATAAATACAATTAAATATATTGCAGATTCTCGACGACATACATTCAATAAAATATTAACTATTCATATTTCATACTTGCGTCTAAATATTATGTTACCCTCTTGCAGATTTTCACAAATCTGTGTCATCTATATGAAGAAAGAGAACATTTACTTGTCGTTACTTAAATAAATCCTTGCAACAAGGAAATATGAATAGGTGTATAAACATAATTCATTTTCATTTTATATTTGACTAGCTGGAACACGAACGTCGTCTGCGTGGAATTTATTACGATTGGATTTTATGGGTTTTAATTTTATAGTGCGGAACCCTGATTATTTTTCTAAAATAAAAGTAGCCTAAGTTACTCCTTATAACATTAACTATCTGCCAGTGAAAGTCCCGTCAAAATCGGCCATTTCGGAGATTAGCCGGAACAAACCGTATATACTTTCATATGTATTTGTAAAAAAGCTACAATTAGCATTACCAACGACACTTCAATTTTATTTATTTGTATAGAGTAATAGATAAGACATAGTTTATAGCTTACGCTCAAATAAATAATCGTCTCATACTACGATGCAAACTTTGTTGTTTATAAAATGTATGTATTAGAGAGGCACCACAACACCATCGCCACCCCGGTATAACACGCAAGTTTTATTGAGACGATTGATTTAAGCGGAGGAAATACATGCGCCCTCGCAGTGTTATGCAGAGAATGGATGATGTCAGAGTCAGTGACGACCTTATAGGTGGAAGTGGGACATAAAGTAAGATTAATAATGACAAATTGAATGGTAGTTGGAGAGGTTGTCGGTGGCAAGGTCTAATTATTTTTTGGCTATTTCATAACGAAGACACTTTCCCATACTTTTCTAAAATATAGATGGTTTTTTGTAAATTTAAGTTGTATTTATATACAATTATCATGATTAACGTCCTCCAGACCGAATTTCGATCACAGCGGCCAGTCTGAACTAAACTAGCCATTTGCGCAGGTGCTATTCCCTCCCTCTCATAGACCGATGGGATGGTAATCCGACATGACCGGAGAGAGATATTCTACTGATAATTTCTTGTTGACGGAAAAACTCAATAACTGATTTTTGCCCGACCTGGGATTCGAACCCGGGATCTCATTATCAGCGACTGCGTTTACGATTAATTTACTATCATCATCATCATCATCATTACAGCCTTTCATAAGTCCACTGCTGAACATAGGCCTCCCCCAAGGAATGCCACTAAGCACGGTTCTGAGCCACTTGCATCCATCGACTTCCTGCATGTTTTACCAGGTCATCACACCATCACGTGGGGGGGTCGCCCTACACTTCGCCTACCGGTACGAGGCTGCCACTCGAGAACCTTTCTTCCCCATCGGTTGTCGGTTCTTCGAGCTATATGACCGGCCCACTGTCACTTCAGCTTACTAACCCGTTGGGCTCTGTCGGTTACTCTGGTTCTACTGCGGATATCCTCATTTCGAAGTTTAGCACTCAGAGAAACCCCGAGCATAGCTCTCTCCATAGCTCGCTGAGCTATACTAGCGTTTACTAAATCAACGAGGCAGTATTACAATTAGTAATTAATTGTATCAAGTATATTTTATCGTTACCATTTATTAAAGCCATGTACAAAGCATATTGTCAAGATTTTCGCCCCAATATATCTTTGCGTTATCACCTTGAACTGCATGCGGATTTGAGATCGCAGGAAACGACCGATGCAGTTATTCTACTCTGTTTACTGTGCTAGTCGTCATCGGTCTGGATATTTTGGGTCAGGTATTTATTTAGGTAATTGTTTCACCGTCTGTCGGGCGCCAAATATTTTTTTCCTGACGTGGTAATAAATTAATTGAATAATTAAATTCTTCGTTAGTTCTTGGGAAAATAACTACAGTATAATCACGACAAGATTTCAACTAGACACCGAGATGGGCAATTTTCTTGTTTGTCAAACAGTTTTTCACTTAGTGCTATGAACTTCATATGACATACAATAACAATTTTATTGCACTGTACCGTTTATCTGAAGCTGTACAATTAATGTTCATTGTTAGGTCAAAGTGTTAATTACAAATATAGCTCTGACATGCGACGAGTGTGATTTAAAGAACTTTACACCACTAATTTGAAAATTAATAAAATATACATAAATACAATAATTGAGTAATACTTATTTCTTAATTTTCAAAATTTTTTTTTCAACGAAATGACGACAACAACGTAGCGCGTGACATTTCTTATACTATTGTGATGGTATTTAACGAGGAATTTGTAAAAATTTCCGAAATATTTAACAATATAAGCCAACTGTTGCAGGTAAGAAAAATTGTACTTTCCATTGTAATGAAAATGGACAAATTTTGGTATACGTATCATACGTACGTTTTTGCCACAATCGGAGTCAATCAGTAAAGTAACTTTACTTCATTTTCCTTATCTACAGCCGCTTTAATTATAGCCTCTACCCTCTAGTACAAATTTATCTACAGACTTCAAAAAGGAGATGGTACTCAATACGACTGCATGTTTTTTTTATGTGTGTTACCTCAATAACTTTTTCTGAGTGAACCGATTGCGATGATTCTTTTTTATTTGAAAGCTGGTGCTTCTCATGTAGTCCTATATAAATTTGATCAAGGTCTGACCAATAGTTTTTGAGTTATTCTTAATAATTTATATTGAAGTCGGTTGTACAAAATTTTTAATTTTAAATTATTTCAGAACGTGTTAATGACTTATGAATTTATTAGATAGATTATTTTGTTATGCTATCATCATCATCATCATCATTACATACTATCACAAGTCCATTGTTGAACATTGGTCTCGCCCATAGATTGTCACAAAATACGGTCCTGCGCCATCTGCATCGACTACCTGCATGTTCGCTTTAGCTCCTGATCCGCTGATCTATGCCAGTTACACTTGTTCTTCTGCGGATATCCTCAGATAAACCCAAAGTGTCAACCACTCTATCGCAGAGTGACTTTGAGCTTTCTCATACAGCCAGGAATGAACACGCATTTGCGGTTCACTTTTGTTTTAAGTTCCTGAAGTATATCAGACTAAAAGTTTGTCGCAATTTCTCGAACGCATTGGATTTACAGGTGGCATAATTTGTTTTCTTTGTCATGAATAAAAGAGTTTTTAATATTTGAATTTTAGCAATTATGTATTAAATTAGTTAATTGCTTATTTTATAGTGATAATCGATTTGTAATAAAATACTCACCACCTTTTCCCATTGAAAATATTCGTTTTATCTTCTTCATTATTGTCAAGCATAACACGCCTTTATAACAATTGATTAGGATTCAAATTCTTGTATCAAAAAACTTCAGTTTGTTTACTCAGAGAATTGGGCCTATGTGCAAAATAAAGATTTTTACATGGTCATTATGCTAAAATTGTTTAGGTATCAACTAAACATAGATTATTTAATCAAATCTTATGCTAAACGCACATGTGAGAATAAACATTAGGGATTTTTTCCTTCTATTTAAAACTTTTTAGCCCGAATCCCTAATATTATTGTAGTGTTTAACGACAAAAATATTCTTCGTCAAGAAATCGTATACTTCTTAGGCAATAATTAATTTTATAAAAATGGATGAAAAGTAATTTGCACTGATAAAACTGGCAGATGACATACGTTAAAATACTACAAGGCACGTAGAACAGTTGAAAGAGTGATAAATTGTTTAATCTTTTAGAATTTATGCGATATTTCAAACAATAGTATTCTCTTACAAAATCGAATTAAACTAAAGAAATACCAAAAAAAACAAATTATCAGTGATCAATTTAAAAGAAATTACAACTACACCATTTCGTAAAAACGCGCACGCGAATGATTGGACTCTCGTCTCGACGTTCACTACACCATGCTGCCTACGTTCAACTAATTGTTACAGATGGTCCCGTACTCCCGTAGTCCCGTAGGACAACTACGAGTATATTCACCGTGACCTTTCGTCAATAAGACGCATGGCATGGTAGGCCTTTTATTTCTTGATATTTGAAGAATAAGTTATTTTTCTAATAACATTAAAAAAAAGTTCATAACGAATTGAATTAAAATTGAAATTAATTCATTGACTGTTAATATAAAATCAAATATCGAGATTATTCCAAATCTATTAAAAATGACCTCGGCTGTAACAAATACTGGTGCATTACATTTTGCCAAAGGACGTTAAATTTGCATACAACTCATACGCTCACGCCGTAGCACTCGGGTATTGTGAATTGCAATTTATGATCATTTAACTTTCAATAGTCAGTGACGTGACAATAACCTGATTGTTGAGTAAACGGACTACAAACTCGAAAAGTCGTGGCTTCGAATCCGCCAGTCGACGACCTTCGTGAACTACACCTAACACAAGCATTTTACGCTTACATGGAGTGGTTAAAATTCTGAACTTATACTTAAATAATAGGGTTTCCAGTATTCGTTATTAAAAAAAAACTCAGGCAGGATTTCAGGATCAACAAAGGTCATAACAAAGTAGAAAGACAATTTCGTTCGAGATCCCACAACAGAGTATGATCATGAAATAACCGACGGACCTACAATTTTCCAATTTACTCAATTGAAATTTACGTTCCTTTTTCTTTAAACTCGTTAATTAACAAACATATTATGGTCCGTAATTATTGGGCATTATATCACATTTATTTAATGATAGATAATTGGACGGTGTCAAAGGCGAATCAAAGCTCTATGTATAAGGTAAAAGTATGTAAATAAGTAAAATACTACATTTATGTACAAGTGTGTAAAAAAAAAATACTACATTTACTTTTACAATAAGTAAACAATAACATAATTCAATTTTCTGTTATTACAACACGCTTTAGCTGTTTACGAACAGGACTACTTATATTTTCATTCATAAAATGTTACAAAATGGAATCAAAATATATCTGTGTGTGAAGCACCAGCTTTCAAATAAAAAAGAATCGTCAAAATCGGTTCACCCAAAAAAATTTATGAGGTAACACACATAAAAACATGCAGTCGAATTGAGTACCCCCTCCCGTAAGAAGTCGGTAGAAAAAACTCGGTTGTATAAGAGTGGTCTCAGACTAATGACTTTTTAAGTACACAAGCAACATAGGTAATAGTGATTTAATAGATAATAAACAAGAGAATGGCTACATGAAAAATATGGAGATACTATTTTATGTATAAAATGAATTTACACGCCCGAGAATATTTACGTCTAAACTGATAAAAAATAAGTTATGTCTATATCTGCCTCTTTCTATTGTCATTTATTGAAGAGAGAGACAGAGACAACTGAATTGGCAAGCGCAGTGGGAAGTGAAGAATCCAATTATATTCCAGTTATACACAACAACTTAAAATAATACTAGTGATACGCCCCGGCTTCGCACGGGTGATTTCTTGTTCTCAACAACAGCGCCACTTACCGGGTCCAAATGTGAATCTAAAGCATCTAAGGACCCATTCGAACACACAAAAAATTTTATCACAATCAGTCGAGCTATTTTTGAGTTTTATGGAGACTAACAGACAGCAATTGATTTTTATATATAGATTCTCGTCTTTTCTGTACTAATATGTATACATGTATTATATATATACATTCCTCTTGAATCATTCTGTCTATTGATGAAAACCGCATCACAATCCGTTGCGTAGTTTAAGATGTGTAAGCGTACAGACGGCGGGAAGCGACTTTATGTTATATTATGTAGAGATAGAGAAAAAAAACTGTTGTTGCTAATACACTAGCCTAGCATGGCAAATATGACAAATATCCCCCTTATGTAGGTAATCCATGCGAGGTATATGATCAGCAGTGGACTTGATAGGATGTTATAAATGAATCAAAAAACATTTGTGTCAGAGAACTTACCCTCAGTTCGAGCGCGTCGCTCAAATTCGTCGAATAGTCGGTTGACGTCCTCTATTTCACGTCGCAGACGTCGCAGTTGCGGGTCGGCCGCATCTCCCTCTCCCAGCAGTTTCTCCGCGTCCTCGTTTAACGCGCGGCGGATAGCCTGGCGCTGTTCGGCGCCCATTGCTACGAACTGAAAGTAGAAACATTGCTTAATACACTGATATAAGGTGTCAGTCCAAATTATTATAATATGATTGAAAGTTAACAGCTTATAAACGTCCCACTGCTGGAAACAGGCCTCTCATTTCTGAAAGGGTTTTAGGTCGAGGAAGTGTCCACAGCTCTGCTCGAAGTCGTATTGGCGGATTCACATGTCTTCGAAATAATTTTTCCTAACGTGCTTGGCACGTGGTAAAACCATGAATTCCTATTGCATAAACTGGCTTTTGAAATCTCTTCGAAAAGGCACACAAGAAGTTGCATGCATTTCCTACAAGTTTCCTCATGAGTGCGGAGCCCATAACCTGGTATCAACAGTTTGTGTGTTTAGTATTTGCGAATATTATTTTGAGCCATAAGCTGATCGTGAGCTCGTCAATCAGCAGGGTTATAAGAAATGCAGCATCAATATAAGAAAGGACTGCATGCAAGTAAGTTTGACGTTGGGAGAAAAAAATTACCCGCCTAATATACACTAATGATTTTGAAATAATTAAAATAGCGTATCTTCGGACTGTCTGAAAAAGAGGAAGTTGACGATATAAAACTATCTCTCTAAAGTTAGTTTACCGACTGCTAAAACAGATCTAATAATAAATGAAGTCTAAGTAACGCTATGCTATGTTACGTGATATCTTCACAGATTGTGAACCACTTTTTAATGATTCTTTTTTTATTAAATAGGTTATACTTCAAAGGTCCCATATAAGTTTGAAGAAAAAATTCCACTCCTAATAGCACTCTCCAGGTAGCAAATAAATAACTTCTTTTTTAGCAATTTGAAGTCGGTTTTTACTTTAATTTATTAAAAAGCATCCCGGCAAAGGTTGTTTGGGAGATTATAATATACCTAATGAGGAATAATCTTATGCTCACAAGATGTCGCTATTTGGGACTAAAGTGAACTTGTTTGTTGCGCAGATCGTCACACAGTATCATTATTAATTAAAAGTTGCTATTTAATTGTAAATTATTTTGTTTCTAGTGTATGTATATACACAAAACAATGCCATAATGCTGTATTCTTTAATTTTTTACACATTTAAATTTTTTTTTAATTCTTATACTTTTGTATATCTATGGTTTGGTTTATCCATTTCTAATCCAATTAATATAAAATGTAACTTATATTTCAGAAAGAAACATTAATCTCTTCACTTTTCTAACAAATTATTCGCTCTGATGGCAGAAAAAGTTGTGGATTATATTATCATTATAATGTAATATTAATGCATAATTACTCACTTGTGGGAAGTCCCATCCTTTTACGACTTTGATGGTAGCAAAGATCATATTCTGTCGCATGCGAAGCTGCTTTCTCTGCCAAAGTTGGATCACCTTCAAAATATACAGCACTATGAGTATACACATATTCGAAGATGACGAATGATATCTTCATATCGTTTCTTCGATGTCGTAAGAGGCGACAGATGGAAACTGAACCAAGAGAGCAGCATTTCCCTGATAATAGCTATATAAAAAATTAAAAATGCTCTTAGACTATTGTTCAGCAGTGAGCTTTTGATAGGCTGTAATGATAACGATAAAACTGATTTTATGGATTGTATTGTCTTTAATTGAACTTATTCTTAATTCCCAACGTTTCGAGTGCTTTAAGAATACTACAGCCTTGGTGTCTCTCTGTGATCATGGGTGCTGCAGAGCACTCGAAAGGTCTTCATTGAGTTAAAAATTAGTTTAATTAAACACGGCCAAATTAGTAAAATTAGTTTTATTTAATGTGTGGATGTCGCGTATTATACGGTTTATGTAAATAAGAATTAGATTTTATATGCATGTTTATTTAAGAATGTGTATGTGTATGTGTGTGTGTATTTGTGTGTGATCAGGTGGTAATGGTACCATCATCGTGTTTCGCGTTGTGAGTGTCGTTAATAGCGATTGTCATGAGAATGTGACAGTGAGAGTATGTATGTGCGAGCGTACACGTGTGCGTACGTATGGGCATGCGTGTGTGTGCGTGTGTGTACGTATGCGTACGTATGTGCGTGCGTGTGCGCGTGTGTACGTACGCGGTCGTAGGCGCTGCGCAGCGCATCGGCGGCGTGCAGCGCGTCGGCGCAGGGCGGCGGCAGCGCCAGCACGGCGGCGGCTGTGTGTATGTGTGCGCGTGTGTGCGCGTGTGTACGTACGCGGTCGTAGGCGCTGCGCAGCGCATCGGCGGCGTGCAGCGCGTCGGCGCAGGGCGGCGGCAGCGCCAGCACGGCGGCGGCTGTGTGTATGTGTGCGCGTGTGTGCGCGTGTGTACGTACGCGGTCGTAGGCGCTGCGCAGCGCATCGGCGGCGTGCAGCGCGTCGGCGCAGGGCGGCGGCAGCGCCAGCACGGCGGCCGGCAGCACGGCCTCCGTGCCCGCGCCGCCCACGCGCACGCGCCACCGCACGCGCCCACTGTTGTCCACCACGCTCACTGACGAACCCTTCTCTATCGCCACCTGTTTTATATTTATACAATCACTCTGACAAACGGGTACACACTCTACACGATGACGCAAGTGGCTACTGTGGCCCATAGACATCTACGCTATCCTCATTTAAGAATCAAAATGCAGATGCATTATCACCCCTGAAGACTGAGATAAAATACCTCGTTTCCAGTAAAAAGGATCTCGGGTTCTCTACACTCATCACAAAAAACACAGCAACATTAAACTGCTATGTTACGCTAGTATTCTGTGAGAGCGTGGGCCAACCCTGATCTAGTTGGCCCATTCGTACTACAATCATAATACGACTATAGCTGCAGCGTGGGTCTACCACGTAATTATTTCGTTTCGTTCATTTATTTAGGCACCAAAAACAAATAAGCTTTATAAATTGTAATATAAACACTTAATCTTAGAATGAAACATATACATAAGCTTTATCTTAATTATAAGTAACCATGGCTAGGTAAAAATAACAAGAAGTTAACAACTAAAACACAAAAAAGGGCCAGATTGGACAAAATATCGTATTAATTTTAGACACGATTAACGCTCGAGAATTAATACTTTTTGAAATAGATATATACTCAAAAAAAATATGTGCATACATGAAATACTCAATTAAATTCTTATTCGAATGGATTTTTAAAACAACAAACTTTATATTAATCAAGATAAAAAAATTATAATTTGTAACCGTTTCCTCATTATTTTAAGGGATAGCCTTATAATATTAAATATAGTATTTCATACGAATGACATGGTATTAAATAAAAAAAACTATCAGCTACATTTTCATTAATTTAGACTCTAGATTACTATCTTTTAGATTTATTATTTAGTTATAAGTAAAAACGCTTCAAATAAAGTAACTTTTTTCCACCGAATTTTGCACACTTTTTCATGCTATAGAGAAGGGAGTGCAAAATCCTGTACTAAAATCGGTGCCATACTCAATAGTGTCGTGACATCATGGTATAAGTGGATCACGCCATTTTGTCCCGTGGGTGTTGTAAGAGGTGACTTTAGGAAATGATACAATAATCAAACGGCTTTCCATACATTGCGGTAAAATGATCTAGTTTACATCAGTCATAAAATACCCAAATTGACGACCGTTAATCTGTTTCCTAAGTGCAAATCCTCCTCACAAAGGGAGAGGTTTATATCCAGTAGTGAACTTTAACAGTTCGATTATGAACAATTCTTTATTGTAGTTTCGATTAACTATATAGTAGGAAGTGAAGTTGGCTGAGCTTGCATTCTCACAAGGTTTATTATTATAGTTTTTTATAAGAGTGACCGATAGTAGAAAGTGAAGTTAGCTGAGTCTGTATTGTCACAAGTGTACAATTCAGCAAAGTATATTTTTAAATGTTTTCATACTAATTGTATAAAATGTTATATTGAAATATTTTTTTTACATAAGTCCCTTTTTCTTTCCAGGAATGAGATTTTTTTCGAATCAGTGGTAAAGTTTAAATTACTTTCAACAAGTATTCTTCTATCTATATAAATAAAATTATAGATGTTTGCAATTGTGCGCGCATTACGGAAAAACTACTGGATAGATTTTCATTAGGTTTTCTAAGTTTTATTTCTTAGATACTAGGTCGATATTTTCATTTAATATAAAGTTATTAAAGTTTTAAGAAACAACAATTTTTATACAAGGGTTTTCAAACGGTCAAGTGTATGTCGCTTGCTCTTGCGTTACTAACCCATATAATTTGTATATTTTAGCTACAAACGGAGTAACAAATAATATTGTTTATAAAGAAATTTTGTAAGTAAAATATATTTTTGCTTGCGATCTTTATGATGTTTTTTCTTTTACACATACGAAAATTTTGTTAATGCATCAAGCAACGCGGATATAGCCGCGGGTATCAGCTAGTATTGAATAAAAATGATAGTATTGTGCTGTATGTATGGTGAGAGTGTCTCACGTTGGCGTGCTTGTAGGCGCAGACGGTCTCTGCGGGCAGCGGGCGCGTGAGCGGCGCGCGGCGCAGCGGCACGGGGCGCACGAGCTGCGCGTCCTGCGCCGCGCGCGCCACCCGCGCGCCCACCGCGTTCAGCTCCTCGCGCAGCTCCTGCATGCCCTTCAGCAGCCGCTCGCCCTGGTCCAGCGTGAACTCCGACTGCGAGAACGTCGAGTTCAACGCCTCCTCGCGCCTGCGACGATTGCACGTCGTTAGGGAAATAATATACTGCATGCGTGATAGCGTTAAGGAATCCAACGCCTCATATCGTCCCGTGGATGTAAGAGACGATAAAGGGAAACTGGAATCGGTTATGGATAAACCACCTGTCACGCGTGGTGACTGCGGCAAACATTCACTCTATGAGCCAATTTATAGGATGAGCCTATGTTTAGCAGCAAACTTGTAACGGGTTATAATGATCTGTTTACACTTACAAATTATAACCCCTAAAGATGCTGCAAAAGACATATTGAAATTTAAAATTAATTACAACAAAAGCAAACGCAATAAAATTAAAAAAACTATTCCGTGTACGTGTTCCTTTTCCTTTAAACAGCCTCCACATGCTTGGTGTTTGCCACAAACACCAATAATCATCAAACACGTGTCAAACACCTACCACAATCACAAAACACAAATACGACATCCACAGACTTGACGAACATGTATTGCGAATAGACAAACATGACGAACGACGAACTTGTGGTAGTGATTACTTTCAAATTAACCTATATTTATTTAAAAAAAAGGCAAAATGAAATTAAACAAAAAAACATATAATACACCCAGTACCTAAATACACAATGACACAGTGTACGGTATAATAATAATAACCACTAGTAACTCCGTCCACCGCTCGCGCCTACGTTTGTCGAACAGCCTTTGATATGTACACAAAAACCGACACTAGCGCCGATCACTAGTAAACACAAACAAAAACAGACAAACACCCATGCACACGTTCGTTTTTGTTGTTTGGTATTAGCTATTTGTCGTTATTTGCCAAGCATGTGCAGGCGACTTTATAATTAATATTAATCTTTCCCTAAAGAACAAAATAAGAAAAACAGACACACCAATAGAAAAAAATACAAACTTACTTCTGTATCCATTTCTCTGCTTCCTTCACCTCTTCGAAGAAGTTGTGGTACTGAGTAGTGTGCTTCAAATGTGTTTCGAGACATAAAGTCAGCTGAAGCACCCAAGCCCATTGAGATTGCATCACCTAAACAAACAAGCCCCCATTAATATACGCTTTAAGCAGTATCATTATCCTGACAACAATACATAATAATAAAAAACTACACTTGCTAAACCACTGCCAAGCGTGTTGCCGTCTGTCAAGTTTGTCAACTATGGCAAATAGACAAATAAAAAAGGGGGAATCCCCTACAAGGCAATCTATGGCGAAGGCCTATGTTCAACAGAGAACTTTTGATAGTCTGTATAAATGAACAAATACAAAAAAAGTTGGTAAAATTTTAACGGGTCTTTCACTAAATATTTTTGGAGTAACAAACTGATATTCCACTTAATGGTCCCTGGACACCAAATTTCAGGCCACAGATACGTTGTTACCTCTAAAGTCTTACACTCTGTAATTTTACCGACTCCCCTTACCCTTCAAACCGGAATACGATAAAAGATACATTGCTGCTTGACGGGAGAAATAGATAAGGAAGCGGTACCGGCCCAGAAAGACTGCCAAATATGTAAAAGAATCCTACTACTTAGTATAGTGATCGGCGTTTATCATTTAGTTATTTAATATTTATATATGCATTTCTTCTTTTCTTCTTCTGGTGCCTCTCCGACCAGTAAAGGTTGGCAGTCAGCTAAAACGCCTTATAATACGTGTTAGTGAACTCGCGATTCCTGTCCACTCCCGGATGTTACATAGCCATAACTTTTTTCTGCGACCGACGCCTCTTTTTCCGGCAACTTATATATGCATAATAAATCGTAAATCTTAACAATTATAATATTTACTCTTTCGATATTTTTAATTTATGTTAGCGAATAAAATATACCCATTTTTCTACTAACCTGAAGATGGGCTTCAATAGTTTTAGTGGCAGGGTGATGTTGTGCGATGAGAGCTTCTCCCCGGTCTATCACATTGCTGAACTGTAACTCTCTCTTCTCCAACGAAGACATCAGTTGCTGCGTAAAAATCAACCTTATTAGAATGCATCAAAGCTGGAAACGTTTCAGTAAATAACCAAGCGTATTCAACAAAATATGGCAACAGAAAAAAACATAAAAAACTGAAATTCGGTGTAAAACAACTAGAAACAAACCTCTCTATCGTCCCCAAATGAATGCTTGCATAGAAAAGAAAGTAAACGTTAAACTTATTAAGAAATAAATACAACAACAACATCGGTAGCCAGGTTACTACATTACATATGAACTATTTATGTACATATTATTTTCATAGCGTGCTTGCGTGGGTGTTTGCAATCACGTGTAATCCACGGGGACGTACAATTCTAAATTGCAATTAAAACAATTTTTTTACAGTGGATACCTACAAACACAAGTTTACAAAATGTGGCTTACATATTCAAGTTACATAAGTGAACTATGTGGAATATAAAACAACACAAAACGCGTGTTTTACTCACTTCATAGTAATGTTGAACGGCCGGAAGATTGATGTGGGGATCGGCCCAGTCGCGGGATATTTCCACTTGTTCTTTTTCGTTAAGCCAATTCAATTCTGCAGTGGCCGACTGCAAGAAGTCTTGTAAGGCGTCCAAGTCTGACATACTGTGGCAAAAACCATAAGAATATTGTTTAACTTGAAATAGTAAATAAAATAAAAGTATTTTTTTTAAAAATAAAACAAGGTCCGGCTAGAAAGACCAAGATATTTTTATATTTTTTTATCGATTGATATTGAAATCTTATGATATAGAAATGCGGTGATGTGAAAAAATCACACATTTTCATTTATTAGAAGATATAATCTTCTAATAAATGAAAATGTGTGATTTTTTCACAAAGATTATAAATTAACATACAAATAAATATTTTTACCGTTTTGTACTTGTCGATAGCAGTTCAGCATACAACTTCTGTAGCTGACTTAAATGTTGGTTGTATAAGTTAAGTTCTTCGCCGCTAAAGTTGGATCTGTTGTGCACACATTGCTCCACCTAAGTGCAAAATGTAGGGAAAATTTTGAAATTTGTTATTATTTAGCATATTGGTACTTCCAGACTGTGGTTAAAAAATTCACTATTATAGTACCAATATAGTAACTTTAGAATATTTTATTTATCTTATCAATCAAATACGTTAATAATTATATAATAGTAATAGTTACATTCTCACCTTAGAGTGGAATTGGTCGATTTGTTTGTGCTCTCTCTGGTGTTTGTCCAACTCATGTTGTACGGTGGGTAGGTCTGATCCGTATTCGGATTCGTGAAGTTTTTTCTGTCAAAATAAATTTCTTTCGTGAAAATATGCACCTTCCCATTATGTATCTACGATTTGAATTCTCCCCCACTGAATATACGAGTGCACTTTTAAGTAATGAATGAATGAATGAATGAAATACACTTTATTGTACACACAAAAATACATATGAGAAGAAAGAAGAACATAATTTATTTAAAGGTACAATTGGCGGCCTTATCGCTTGGGAGCGATCTCTACCAGACAACCACATTGCAAAGAATAAAATGACCTGTGAGAAAGGGTAAGGGTGTACGTACTGTTGCGCGCCACTATTAATGTCTTGTACATGGCAACACTAGTTACACTAGCGCCCCCTAGTGTCGAGTAAATGAAAGTATTGCGTGCCACTATTAATGTCTTGTACATGGCAACACTAGGTACACTAGCGCCCTCTAGTGTCGAGTAGCAGAACTAGGAGAGTCAAGATCCTTCCAGAAATTTCGGGACCGATATGTACTCGAACATTCTAGATGTCGCTACAGTAGAAGGTTCTGGAAACTATCTGAGGGCCTATATAAGACCGGTATAGACCACGACCGGGGCAGATTAAATTGGCGATACAAGAGAATACTTCGAAGCGAAATAACGGTGAACTGTGTTTTATTATTAGTGTGATTTTTGATTGTAATTAGTGTTGTGTAATTAAAGTGTCAATTTTGGTAATTCAGTCGGCAGTTTTTAATTGTCTCGAACCCGAAGCTCGTAACAATTGGTGTCAGAAGCGGGATCAAATATGCCGATTTTACCTAAAGACGACACGGAGGGTATCCGTACCCGAAGTCAACGCCAACAGGAGACGGACCAGAGACGATTTGGTAATGCAACGCCGCAAACGTCGGAGGGCCAGTTGCTAACCACGGAGGCTGGCCCGTCAGCAGCTACTGCATCTGCAGCACCTGACTTGGGTGCTCTGATGATAATGCTGCAGGAACAGGCCCGCCGACAGGAGGAACAGGCCCGCCGACAGGAGGAACAGACCCGTCGGCTGGAAGAGCAGCTGCAGCGCGGTATGGAAGAACAGATGCTCCTCAGGAAGGACCTTCACGCTACCTTCGGGAAAGAGATAAAGGAGGTGAAGGATAGGGTTGCTCAACATGACAACCGCCTGTCGGAAGCTGAAACCCGAATCGACCAAGTGAACAATCGGGTTGACAACGTGATGGCTGATGTGAAGAAAACGCTGGACGACCTCAAACTTGGGGATGGAATCACAGCTCCCGTGGTAGCTACAACACCTTCGCTACGTGGATTCAAAGTGCCGCCGTTCGACGGGAGTTCTTCCTGGTCGGCCTACAAAATCCAGTTCGAGGCTGTCATGAAAGCGAACGGCTGGAATAAAAGTCAGGCCATGACTGCTCTCACCCTAGGCCTACGCGACCAGGCCTTAACTGTTTTGGAAGCGCTCGGTAAGGAAGTGACTTACGAGCAGCTCCTTGAGGCATTGGAGGCGAGATATGGCGATGCTCACCTGGAACACGTCTTTCGTGCGCAGCTCAAAGATCGCGTGCAACGCAGTAACGAAAACCTGCAGCAGTGGGCCCTTGAGGTGGAGAAGCTGGTTCGAAAAGCGTACCAGTCTGTACCTGTGCTCATTGTAGGGAACCTGGTGCAGACTTTCATCGACGGCATCCGCGACCTTGAAGTCAGAGCTGCTGTGAGGCTCGGGCACCACCAGACGCTTAAGGACGCCCTGACCCATGCACTGGAGGTGGAAGCCGTGCGGCAGGATCATCGTTCCCACCGCGTCAGGGAGGTTGCAGCAGCTACAGTTCAGGACCGCAATAAGGGCTATAACCCTAGGTGCTACGGCTGTGGGGAAAGGGGCCATCTTCGATCCAGCTGCCCTAAACGAACTGTAGAAAGGGAAGGTGATCGATCTCGAGAGGGTAGTGCGGATAATAGCACCGCCCAGCAGCAGCAGGGAAACGAGTAAAAGCCAGGACTGCGGGGCGGGTGCTGGCTGATGTTAAAAGAGCCCCAAGGATTTCGATCTCACAAACCCATGATGGGAACAGCCTAATCATCAAGGGCGAAGTCAACGGAACGCCGTGTAAACTGACCATAGACACTGGAGCCTCTCGCACGGTTGTCAGTTCCCAACTTATAAGTCGGTTCCTTGGGGACTCCGCATACAACCGAGAACGCATTAATTTGGTGACAGCCACCGGTCAGCGCATACCCGTCCGTGGAGAGAAGGAGATGGAGTTGAAGCTAGGCAACATGATCTACCTGCATAATGTCATCGTGGCTGATATAATGGACGACTGCATCCTGGGCCTAGACTTTATGAGGAAGAATTGTTGTGAGATCGACGTTAAGCAAGGTGTTTTGAAATGTGGACAAGAAGAACTTTTCGTGGAAGGGGTTACCAGGGAATGTGTACAGCCTTAAGAAGATTGTTCTTCCGCCGAGATCGGAAACGATTGTGCCGGTTAGTCTTCCTCGGAGTCCTGGGCAAGCCCATCGTTGTGTACTCGTGGAAAGGGTAGACAATGACCTTCCATGGAAAGTGGCTCGAACCTTGGTCAGAACCACCGACATCTCAGGAGTACGTGTGTTGAACCTTTGTGATCAGGAACAGATTATAGAAAAAGGCACATTGGTTGGTACTAGTGAGGAAGTGGATTGGTTGCGTCGATGCGAATATCTATCGACCGGGACCCCCAGCAAGGATGGACAAACGATAGTGACCACACTTTTGGAAGACTGTCGCAGCGTTCTTTCCCCGAATGAAATGGTCAAGGCGAAGAAGTTGTACTCAAGTACGCCAATGTTTTCTCGTCAAACGAAGCTGACATAGGAAAGACTGGCTTAGTTCAACACAAAATAAACACAGGACAAGAATTGCCTATTCGTCAGCGGCCAAGAAGATTGCCTGTAGCACGTGAAAAGGAAGTGGAAACCATGATTGAGGGAATGGTGAAGGATGGTGTTATTGAACCTTCATCTAGTCCATGGTGTTCACCTGTGGTGCTGGTAAAGAAGAAGGACGGCAGCATGCGGTTTTGTGTTGACTATCGCCGCCTGAACGACATTACAAAGAAGGACAGCTATCCCTTGCCAAGAATTGATGACACGCTGGATATGCTTACAGGCGTAAAGTGGTTTAGTACGCTAGATCTGAAAAGTGGCTACTGGCAGGTTGAAATTGACCCTAAGGACAAGGAGAAAACTGCATTCTCCACAGGAAAGGGTCTGTGGCAATTCAAAGTCATGCCGTTTGGATTGTGCAATGCTCCAGCAACGTTTGAAAGGTTGATGGAGCTTGTACTTACCGGGCTAATTGGAGATGCTTGTCTGGTCTATTTGGATGACATCATCATCGTAGGCCGTACGTTTGAGGAACACCTTCAAAACCTGGAACGCGTGCTCATGAAGATCCAGAGTGCCAACCTCAAGTTGAGTCCAAAGAAGTGCTCACTATTCAAACGGCAAGTTAGTTTTTTGGGGTATGTAGTGTCGGAAGAAGGTATCCGCACGGATCCAGAGAAAATTGCTGCTGTCAAGGAGTGGCCGGTCCCAAAAGACAAGACACAGGTTAGAGCATTTTTGGGTTTGTGCTCTTATTATCGGCGATTTGTGAAGAACTTTGCAGATATAGCCAAACCTCTGCACAAGCTAACCGAGGAGAAGCGACAATTCTGCTGGGATGAAAGTTGCGATATTGCATTCCAGGAGCTCAAGAACCGCCTGTGCAAAACACCTATTTTGGGGTACCCTGATGCGGGCAAGGAATTCATAGTTGACACAGACGCAAGTGATATAGGACTTGGCGGTGTGTTGTCTCAACGGAATGGTAATCAAGAGATTGTGATAGCGTACTTCAGCAAGTCGTTGTCAAAGCCGGAAAGGAACTATTGTGTCACAAGACGGGAATTGCTTGCTGTGGTAAAGTCCTTGCAGCATTTTAGCAAATATCTTCTAGGGCGGAAATTCCACTTACGAACTGACCATGCTGCACTGAAATGGCTATTGCAGTTCAAAAATCCGGAAGGACAAGTTGCGAGATGGATAGAACTACTGCAGGAATACGACTTTGTGATCGAACATCGCAGCGGGAAATCTCATGGCAATGCAGATGCATTGTCAAGAAGACCTTGCCCTGAAGATTGCAAGCATTGTACTAGGCAAGAGGGTAAGGAAGTGGTATCTGTGAGAATGCTCAGGACAGACCAGCTCAGCAATGAGTGGAAGGACAGCCTACAACATGCACAGCAGGAAGATTCGGACATTAAGCCGATTCTGGAATGGATGAAGGCCAGTGCTCCTAAGCCCAAGTGGAGCGACGTCTCAGCAATGAATTCGACCACGAAAAGCTATTGGGCCCAATGGGACAGCTTGCTGATTCAGGATGGAGTCCTGTGCCGTAAATGGGAAAATGGTCGGGGAGACAGATGTCATTTGCAAATGGTTGTCCCTAAGGCTAAAGTACCGGATGTTCTACAACTGTACCATAGTAGTTCTTCAGGAGGCCACCTGGGAGTTAAACGAACTCTCCTGAAGATCCGAGAACGGTTTTACTGGGTCCACTGTCGTGACGATGTCGAGGACTGGTGCCGCAAATGTACAAGTTGTGCGGCTGTAAAGGGACCTCAAATTCGTAGTAGAGGCGCATTGAAATTGTACAATGTTGGTGCACCATGGGAGAGGATAGCCATTGACGTTGCGGGGCCGTTTCCGGAAAGTGAAAGTGGTAACAAGTATTTCATGGTAGTGATGGATTACTTCACTAAGTGGCCAGAAGTCTTCGCCATTCCAAATCAAGAAGCTTCAACAGTTACAGATAAACTAGTTCATGAAGTCTTCTGTCGTTTTGGAGTACCTTTAGAGATTCACAGCGATCAAGGAAGGAATTTTGAGTCTCAAATATTCCAGGAAACTTGCCGAGTTATGGGTACTCATAAAACACGAACAACTTCTTACCACCCACAATCTGATGGAATGGTAGAACGATTTAATCAAACATTGGAAAGGTACCTGGCAAAAGTTGTGGAAAAACGGCAACGAGACTGGGACAGGCACATACAACCGTTTTTGTTGTCATATCGAAGCGCTGTTCACGAAAGTACATCATTGACGCCAGCTTTCGCAAACTTTGGGAGAGAATTACGGCTGCCTGCAGACCTGATCACCGGAATACCACCAGATGCCCCACGCAGTATAACCGATTATGCAAATGACTTGCGGAACAAAATGAATGACATTTATGAGCACGTCAGACAGACGGGCCAGCAAACGTCTGAGAAGATGAAAACACGGTATGACCGCAAAATAAACAACAAGGGGTTTGATGAAGGTTCTCTAGTGTGGTTACACAATCCAGTTCGCAGCAAAGGGAAATCTCCTAAGCTTCAAGCTAAATGGGACGGACCGTACCGGATTGTGACAAGGATCAATGACGTAACCTACCGGATACAGAAAGGTGCCAGAGGTACTCCTAAGATTGTCCATGTAGATCGACTGGCGCGTTATTATGGGGCCAATAATGCTCGGGACGAGCATGTCTTAGGAGGGGGCAGTGTTGCGCGCCACTATTAATGTCTTGTACATGGCAACACTAGTTACACTAGCGCCCCCTAGTGTCGAGTAAATGAAAGTATTGCGTGCCACTATTAATGTCTTGTACATGGCAACACTAGGTACACTAGCGCCCTCTAGTGTCGAGTAGCAGAACTAGGAGAGTCAAGATCCTTCCAGAAATTTCGGGACCGATATGTACTCGAACATTCTAGATGTCGCTACAGTAGAAGGTTCTGGAAACTATCTGAGAGCCTATATAAGACCGGTATAGACCACGACCGGGGCAGATTAAATTGGCGATACAAGAGAATACTTCGAAGCGAAATAACGGCGAACTGTGTTTTATTATTAGTGTGATTTTTGATTGTAATTAGTGTTGTGTAATTAAAGTGTCAATTTTGGTAATTCAGTCGGCAGTTTTTAATTGTCTCGAACCCGAAGCTCGTAACAGTACTTATAGAGAAGGATGTGGTAAATTTATTTGAGCCCTCAAGCATGATCATTTATTGTAAACTACTCCAAAAGGTGTTATAAATGTCGACTAAAAAAGTCTCATTTCTTTAACAGTTTAAAAAACTTAAATAACCGAGACTCCAAATTCTCAAAGAAATGTCTAAGCTGAAATAGCACAAACATACTATATAAGTGCGGGCAGCCGCACCGAGCCCAGCCGCGCGGGGAACGGTACAGTGAGGAGGTGTGGTTGCAGGTGCGGCATGCGGCACTCACCAGCCTGTCGCGGCACCAGGTGGCGGCGGCGTGCAGCGCGTGGAAGCTGGGGTCGGCGTCCAGCACGCGCGTCTCCAGCACGGTGCGCGTCTCGCGGCGCACCGTGGTCTGCTGCACGGGCAGCCGCACCGAGCCCAGCCGCGCCACCAGCCGCCCGGTGAACGCCTGCCGCGCCGCGACCCAGCGCTCGTGCACCTGCTGCACCCTGCAGATTGCCACACGTGCAGATACTTGCATTAGTGCATGCGTCACGCTGCAGCCTCGGATCCCACTCGCATACGATACCAGCGTCAAATAGGACCATTACGCCGCTGTGTTTGGTAAATTGAACGACGAAAACCGGTTGACCCCTTTTTACTGATGACGAGGCATTCTTTTTAGACCGGTATTCCGAGACAATCTCGAATTTAAACTCAAAGTTCAAAGTGTCGACGTTTGCGTTTAATAAATAATAGTGATCTAAACGCAATTTTTCTTTAAAGAATTTAAAAATAAGCCTCGAGATTGTCTATGCAAAACCCATTTTAGTCCTCAGGAGTAAGAACACATTTGTATTTCGAATCCTCTGTGAAGATAGATGTAGGGGGTCTATGCAATATCCACTAACCCTTATTTCTAAAATATATTAATCTATACTAATGCCAGTGAGACAAAATAAACAATGTTAACTTTCAGGTGTGCACAACATTTTTTTTACAAAATAATTTTATTATAAAATGACAATAAGATATAAAATTGCCTGGAATAAATAATTTCGTCGTTTGTATAGGATAAAAATTTTCACAGTTCTTATCAGTGTACATATCTTTTAAATATATGTATATTACGGAATTATCTATTTTATTGTAAATCAAAGCGATTGAAAACCAGTTACAAATTTCGGTATAGTTCTTCATTCAAATAAAAGATCCACTACGACATATTTGAAACGGTTCCGGTTCTCATTCCAGTAATAATATCGGTATTAAAAACCAGTATATAAGACCAACATTTTTTTTCAGTAACTTTTTTTACTTTTGTGGCCTTATAGTTCAGCTATATTTATTAAAATTATTATTTTGTCTTTTTCTCAAAAAATCATTTTGCCACTCAATAAAATATAAAATAAAGTTAGAATCTGCTCGCTTGGCTCGTCTGCTGATAAAATAAAAGTAAACGATTTTCAATTAGGCTTTCTTTTCAGTTCTAAGCCTACTATCACAGCCACTAAATACTGGTTCCTTAGCGGTATTCTTTTCAAAAACTCCTGTTTAGAATCATTAAAAAAGTCAAATGAAAAAGACCAAAGTCACCTATCAAAACATTTGGCTAAAACCGTGACCAACGTTATTGTAGTCGAAAACAGCAAAAATAGAATATTAACAATAATTATCAAATTGCTAAAATTTTAATGAAGACCCCACTCACCGTCGATGCAGTTCCGACGCCTGTGGATAACGTCCTTCTCTCAGTGCTTGGCAGTCCTGGAACATATCCTGTATGGTATGTTCCATGGCTCGCAACTCCTGTTCGATTTGTTCGGCCGCCTGTTTCGCTTCCGCTGGATGAACGCCGCGTTCAACGCGACGTATCTCGCTCTCGATGTGACGCTCTACGTTTTCTAAGCCCGTTTCCGTTTGTTTGATATCCCTGATGGAGGAGAATATACAAGATGATAAACTAATTTTAAAAATTTAATTTAATGATTACCTGATTACTTATTTTAAGAAACCTAAATATCCATTTATATACAAGAAATAAAATGAAATGAAATCCACCCGAAGATTATAATATATACACCTTTTTACAAAACTGTAACACTTCTGTATAGATCTATAAATATTTTTAACCAACTACCGTAATTAGATAAAGGAGGGTAGGTGCAAGTTATCTGTATTTATATTTGTCCGTAACTCATAATTAGTCGTTAGATTTTAAGAAAAATTATGAGTGTGAAAACCTAGACCCCCACTACCTCATTTCGTCCCCTGGATATCGCAAGAGGTGACGATGATGAGCATCCGAAAAATCTCAAGGTTTTCGATAGATCCGCTTCGTTCGGCTTACGGTATAACTGTCTCGTTTACATCAGACCTATAATATCCAGACCGGCGAAAGGAAGCAGTAACAGAGGTATGTGACGTATGGTATTGCGATCGTCAATCGCCCGCCAAGGGTGACGATCAAAGCAAAGTTCTCTACGAAATGATAGGTCCACGTCCAGCAATTATGGTCTGGTAAACTGACGGGCCAAATAAATAATTATAGTGTCACACACAGCGCTGCAGCGCTTTCTGCAGCCCCACTTACCTGTGTAGCTTCTCGGCTAAGCGCTGCAGGCGCTCTAGGCGGCGGATCTCGTCGGAGAGGTCACGCTCGCGCTCCTGCTGCGCCATCAGCAGGCGCGCCCACGCTTGCTCCAGCGCCTCGGGCCGTAGGGTAGGTTCCACTTCGCATTCGCCCACGGACTCGAAGTATTTCTGTGAAAAACACATTGTTTCGAACCTTGATTTGTTTTTAATTTACCATTTGGAAGTTGCAGTCGGAACAAATTCAAATATATATTACAAAAAAATCTGGGTGACAAACGAGCACAGTGCACCTGATGTTACATATGTATATTGTCGTTAAGGAATAAAAATGCAGAGAACTAAGAGCTGTAAAAATGGTCTTCTGTTTTCTGCACACAACATCCAAAACATAGCAGCATTAAATTAATTAATTTAAGTTACATGTTACGCTTTATGACTCATCGCTATGGTATACACGGGTAATTAAAAAAAAAGGGTTAATGATCTTGTGAGTCATACGAGCCGAATCACGGAAAAGTAAATGGTATTTTCTGAGGTCTTTTCTTACAAGCTTTTTTGTTTATTCCTTCACCCTTACTCTGTTCAGCTCCTAGATTACTAGAGCTAATTTAAAGCAGAGAAAATCCTATGACAAAGGTTATCGAATGGCTACCTCATAGAAAAGGAAAATAAATAAAAAGAAAAAGAAGAAAAACAGCAGTGAAGTAAGAGATAGTAGATATAAATACCTCCAGTTCGCGGTACTGGTGGAAGAGCTTTTGCTTCTCCCGCTGACGCAGCGGCACCTCCTCGTTGCGGAAGCGCGTGCTCTCGCTGAGCAGCTTCTTCATCTCGATCAAAGTTGACGGGAAAGCACGGTCCTGCGAAAGTTATCATAGAAACCATATGCTTTTAACATGTAATCTACAGCAAGTAATAAGCTAATACAGATAGAAAATGTTATGAAAAAAAATCGTGTGATCTTAACATTAACGTAACGTAAACTTAATTAAGAAGTGGTTAGACATTTTTAAAATAAAGAATTTTAACCGCTTAAAATTTACTTTTGCTTTTATACAACACAAAGACAGTATACACCGCCCTAAACCAGTACGCATGGAGGAAAAGCCCTTAATTTTTGTAATTTGTTTAATTTTTATAAATTGTAAATTGGACTTCTTGACCCCAGTTAAATAGAGATTTAATAAGACTCGTCCCAAAAAAAAAATTAATATTGTTTATATTAATTAACCTTAATATAGAATTAACAACGTTGAATCGCACTGTAAGTCCACATATCACACTGTACGTCCTCACCTGCATGAGAGAGCATTTCTCGTGCAGCCAAGCGCGATGTTGCGCGGCCTGCTCGGTGTACGCGGCGGCGCGTCGTTGTGACTCCGCGTCGAACAGCGGGTGCACCGCTGGTGGTTCGGGGAACGTCTCGTATAGAGACGAGATATACGTTATGAGGGATTTCTCGTCCGGCTCGTGGGTGTCTACGTCTGAAACAATCGGTGTACATTAATATGTTGGCTTGGAGAATAATGTTTAATGTTATAGAGGCAACGTTTTAAATTTTGTTAGTGAGTTATATTGCTCACGAAAAAATATTAGAAGTCGCAGCGAAGGAAGCGGCAAAATAATATGGATAGCAGGATCTTTTTCGGATAAGGTGACAAACGAGCACACAGTCCACCTGATGGTAAGTGATTGCTGTGGCTCATAGACATCTAGATTTATCCTTCAAATCAAAATGTTTCGTCACCCGTAAGGACTAAGATGAAATGCCTGTTTTCCAGTTATGGGTCTCCGGTTCTCTACTCACCATACGAAACACAGCAGTATCAAGCTGCCTTTTTACGCTGTGAGAGCGTGGTCCTTACACAGTCGAGTCGACCCATTCGTGCCACAACTATACTACACTATACTACACCAGCGTGAAGTAGAGGTTTACCTCTGCGTTTCGCTTAGTGAGTGCAGGTGGCCGGAGGCCCTTTTTACTGGAAATGAGGCATTCCATCTTAGGCCTCACGGGTGACAACGCATCTACATTTTGATTTGTAACAGAGGATAGATGTAGATGTCTATGGGCCGCAGCAACCACTTACCATCAGGTGGACTGTGTGCTCGTTTGTCACCCTTATCCTATAAAAAAAACTACTTATATAGCTGCAGCAAAGCTCTACCCAGTATAAAATCCTGATAATAACTGAAAAATATTCAAGACTCAAGCGCAAGCGTCGTACTTATGGCAAATATCCCCTAAAGGTACTCTATGGGGGAGGGCTATGTCAAACAGTGAACTTTATATAGACTAAAATGAACGAATGAATAAATGTGCAGTGGAATTGGAAAGGAAGCCTAAATGTTTTTTTTTTTGTGATTTTCGACTCCAGTTTTTTTTTCTGGTATTGTTTTTTAAATAAAAAAATTTAGACTTCTCTATTTACAAAATTTGTTAAAAAATTTGTTACATTGTATCGGTCAATAAAAACGCGTTTTACTCAATATTTTATAAATTGAATGAACACGAAATTATAGCTGGGACGGTGGCTACCAATAGTGTTTTTTTTATATTAGTATGTATTAGTTATTATTAAAAATATGATTCGATTTCGAAACAGAGTATCTATTGAATTTGTAAAGAACACCAAATTATATATAAATGATTTCGGATATTTAGTTTGACAAATTCAATGTTTACAATCATTTGAAAAAAATAAACGAATGTATTTGTCTGGTACGACAAATTGCATTACAAAATGGCGTACTTCTTTGTACTCTAATTGCACATCAAATTGCATTCCCTGTAATTCTCTTGCATTGTCGCTTATCGAGGTCCACATCGCGAATCGTTCCTTTCCGAGGCAAAAGTGATTATTCACGCCAGCTTTGTACTTGCGCTGTACTTAGATGTGCGGGTCATGGTGTTCATTTTTACATATAAGTACACATACTACGTACAGTACTGTATATTTTTATTTTTTTATTAAAATTTTAAACAAAAAAGATAAAATCGTACACATGGCGGACTTAAGACACTAAGGCATTCTCTCCCAGTCAAGGATTAGGCTAAGAAAACATAACCTTATAAGAGGTAGTGTACTGTAGGTATCGTAGGTGTTAAAATATCTGTGACGTTGTTGCAATTTATATAGTGCATCGTCTATGAGTTATTATATATACAACCTAAATTTAAAAAAAAAACCCGAAACAAGAAAAAAGTATGATCTTCAAACGGCTGAACAGATTTTCTTGAAACATAATTAAGAACACTCTCAATTAAGACATCTTTCAAACAACAAAAATCAAAATCGGTTCATCTTTTCAGGAGCTATGATAAAACAGAGAGACAAACAAATATACAGATATACTCTACAAAATTACGAGTATGATACCCTTCTATTTTTACATACTGTATCTATATACAATTTTATCGCATTTTAATTTTACTTATTTTTATGGTCGACGCGTTTCGAGTGCCATGGTAATAGGAGACTGAAGTGTTCAACGTTTGATGTGGTAACGAGGGTTGCCAACGTTTTATATATCAAATATAGTATTTTAGATACTATTACTAGTAAAACTATGTATAGTACATAGCGAAAAAAAAGTATGTTTTTTTTAAGGAATAATATTTGCTGCTTTGAGTCATGGATAGTCTCACGCCATAGCCAGCCTATAATAAATAGTTGCGCCTGAATCTAAATATATGGGTATATTTTGGCTAATTTTGGTTGAATATACCACCTAGGTAGGTAGGTTTTTATCGTAGTAGAGCCATGCTTCAACTATATTATTGGTATATTTGTAGTACGAATGGGTCGGCTCGACCGGGAAAGGATCACGCTCTCACAGAATACCAGCGTAAAATAGCAGCTTAACGCTGCTGTGTTGCGTATGGTGAGTGTAGAGAACCGGAGACTCTTTTTACTGGAAACGAGGCATTCCATCTTAGTCCTCACAGGTGGAATGTTAGTCCGTTTCTCACTTTGATAAAATCTACGTAGAAGCAGGTTACGTTATCTAAAATTGTTGGATTGAAGTGGTTAGGTTTGTATTTAATTTTATTAATAAAAAGCACCCAAGAAAATACGGCAAAAGAAGGAAATAGACCAGTAGATGAGCAGCAACGTCTTCCTAATAACAATTCAAAAATAAAAACCAACCCGCTTGCCAAGAGTTAAAACTATGGCAAATATTCCCTATGAGGCAATCAAAATCAATATATGTTTAGCAGTGGACTTTTCTTGTAATGAATGCATGATAGAAAGTAAGTATATGGTATCACGCAAGTAACTTCCTAATTTCAAAAGAGAAAATGGTTTGTCGTGCAGATAACTGCATGCGTATATAAATAAGGCATTCAACCTAGACGAAAAAACAAATAACTTTGTAATCACCAAATAGCATACAGGTAGAAGATATAGAAAAATTTAAATAACATTCATTGCCTATGCTTGAACAATAGGTCGTAAAGCGGCACCTTCGCAGACTTGTCTATCTGTGTTGGCTTGTATTGAGCAATCTAAAACAAAAGTCAGTTGGCACAGGTGTTTGGCGAGGTCTGCGAACTGTGTTGAATACGTATGTGTTTTTTGTACCGGTAGTTATTAACAAATCAGATAATCAATCAAGCGTATGCTATGTATAATTACGTGTCACGTGCTACCATCGTCACCTGGAGACAGTTACTGAAATGGTTCCACATTCTTGTTTTGCTAGATCATCGTATCTCATTATCATCATCACCATCAGCCCTTAACATTTTACTGTTTAACATAGGCCACTAACACCTGCCTCCGTCGGCATCTTTCATGCTTGTCCTGGAAATACCTCCTAGTGGGAATTACTACACCTTGCTTACCGGTACGAGGATGCCACTTGAGAACCTTTCTTCCCCATCACTTGTCGGATCTTAGAGCTATATGGCCGGCCCATTGCCAGTTCAGCTTACTAAGCCCATGAGCAGTCAGTTACTCAGGTTTTACTGTGGATTTCCTAATTACAAAATCTATCATGCAGAGAAAATCCGAGCATAGCCCTCCATATCGCTCTTCTAGTCGCTTGACCTTGACCATCAGTACACTCTGATATTCGGGTTTTGTTAAATCCATCCATCCATTACAGTAAACGTCCACTGCTTAACATAGGTCAACCCCGTAGACGGCATCATGGGGGGATTTTGTCATAGTTGACACGCTTGGCTTGGTTTTGATGAATACGTCATCATATCTTACTACGAAGTTATGGTATTGAACGATTAAAAATTGCACAGCTTGACTGTTCGCATGTCTCCTCCTAATCGTTCTATGTTTCGATCTTTATCGCATCATAAAATTTTACTACTTTACTAGGGTCTATTTAAGATGGTTAATCCTAAGAGTCCTACATAAATATCAGTATTGTAGGTTAATCTATGGGCCCTATAAGAGGCAGAGAGTAATAAATTCTAAAATAGAATTTATCGTGTTTTGTTAATTAGAAATTAGTATCTTTACTGTATGCTGGCTATAATATAAAGGTATAAGCGTCAATTATTCCCTTTACTGTGTAGAACATATTTTTTTTAAAGAATAAGGGTGACAAACAAGCACACATTCCACCTAATTGTAAGTGGTTGCTGTGACCCATAGACATCTACATCTGTCCTCGATTAAGAATCAAAATGCAGATGCGCGAAAATTTCCAGTAAAAAGGGTGATCGGTTTTCTACACTCACCATACGAAACACAACAGCATTAAGCTGCTATTTTACGCTTGTATTCTGTGAGAGCGTGGTTCTTCCCCGGACGAGCCGACCTATTCGTGCTACAATTATACAGTTAATATAGCTGCGGAATGGCTCTACCACGTTTAAAATCTATAATTTCTGCCGAAAATCTATTAATTGAAACATTAAATCTACTTTCTGAAGTTGTTTTTTACTTCTTAGGGTATTTCTTATATTTGATAGGAGCAACGTACTACTACAGACGTAATTGATGTTTTTCATAAAAAACCCAATTACAGTGATATCTCATATGACAAACTTACAATATAATTGAATTATATATATATAAATGTATTAATATTATAGATTTTATATTTATTTTAAAGTAAAACACTAAATATCTTTCATAAATATATTAATATTTATAAGTCTAAGTACTTAAATGGCTATGAATTATGACAAATCGATCAAAATATCATTTTGTTAAAAGCCAACGACTAGTTTACAAGTTATGGACGGACAGCTCAAACATAGTTCAGGGTACAGAGTACCTTTTGAGCTTCACCGCTATAAAAATATAAGGTAAAAAGAAATGTAATGTTTAAAATATTCAGTCGGCATGTAGCAAATTTCACTTACAATCTCATACATCTAAAAAAATCGATACGCTCAATAAAACTCGATAATTCGCTGCGCATCAAATCGGCTTAAACAAAGACTCGGTATCTAGTAATAATTGATGCGTGACAAATAACAGGTGAGATGTCTGAAGCGAAGATTATGGGGCTGCGAAAATGATAGACTATAGATGTTTTATTTTTTACTGTTACTGGCTTATGAATTTATTGAGATGATTTTAATATATTCAATAAAAATTTTACGGCTTCATTGAATCAGTCTTTGAAGGGCTTTTAAAAGCTTTTTCATATTAAAAAAAAAACAATAAACTGATAAACAGTTTAAAAAAATCTAAGCGAACATAAAAGTTAATTAAACGTAACTAAAACGAAGAATGTAGACTTCGTTTCTCGCCTATATGTAGCCGCGAACACGGCGCAAACTAACCGTTGCTTAATGTAGCACATAGCGAGCCCTGTGTAAGCAATATAGGAGAGATAGCTTACCAGTGCCAATGCAAATACAGCAAAAAGTTTTCAACATTATTAGTAAGTGTGATCTGTTGCAAGTCAGATTATAAGTCATCGCTCCATTCAATCTTCAACTATTAAAGAAGACATCTACTGATTAGCTACCACTACCACTAAAGCCCCTCACAAGTCCACTGCTGGACATAGGCCTTTCCCATAGATTGTCACAAAGTACGTTGCAAAGCCCTACATGCAACGATGCAATGCGTGTTTAGTGGGCTTGCCAGTACGAGGCTGCCACTTGAGATCCTTTCTTTTCCATCGGTTGCCGGCTCTTGGAGCGATATCGCCGGCTCATCTATGTCAGTTACACTTTTTCTTCTGCGGATATCCTAATTAAGGATATACTCATCACGCATAGAGCCCTCTCTATCGCATGCCTATGAGGTTCCGTATACGGTTAGCAGGGAAGGATAACGTTTCGTCATCTACTACGGGTGCGGTATGGTAAGGTAAAGGTAGTAAGTTAAGGTTGGGCTATGTCAGTTACTTCTGTCTATTACAGTCCTTCTGCAGATATCCTTTTAACACCGCAGGGAAATTCCGATTAAAAAAAACTACGTGTTTCCTTCTTTCATGTAATAACGGAGGAAGAATAAGCATCCAAATTCGTCTAGTGTAGTACATCGAAATAACGAAATGGTCAGGAAAATAATGGCGCATTCGACAGACGAAAAATACGAAGCGGCGATAATCGAATCTTATAAATTACGCGGCCAAGATGTGCCAATTTTAGAACAAAATTGAAACCTTATAAAAGTCCCTCTAAGACGCAATTAAATTAGTCGCAAAAGGTTTAATTAATATATTAAAATAATTTCAATAAATTACTTTACGTACTCATAACAATTAATTGAACATTAACATAACATGTTTCAAATTTAAATATTTTGTTTTTGTATCTCAGTCAAAGCCTATATTTACTGTCGCGTGCCACGGATTCACAATCTTTATTGTTAGAGCATACTATTACAGTTACACAAACTTACCTTCGGGGTCTAATAATCTGGTAACGCCGTACTCCTTCTCCACCACGTGGAAAGCTGTCTCCAACCGCTCGCGAACCTGCCTTGATCTGTAACAACGTAACATTATTATTAAATATCAAGTTAGAAGAAATTAGCAAATGAAACAGATTTCACTTGTCCACAAAACCCTTTCGAAGAGGAGAGGAGGCCTGTGCCTAGCAGCGGGACATACGCGTGTAATACTTTTTCTGTTATTCTGTTACTTTAGACGAAGCTGATGATGCATAGAATCCGTCAATGACAACGTAGCTGGTTATAAGTTATGACAGTATGAGACCCATTATTGGAGTATCTGTACGTCAATCTCATGCCAACGGTCTCGTATATATATGATGTTTCTGTTATCTATCGATAGATTATATTACAACAGTACTAAGTAGATTTTGGCTTTAGACGAGGTTGTTTAGAGTAGCGCCCAAATAACATCGCGTTTGACCAACTCGAGTAGATTTAAATCTTACGCCGCTATCACAAATTGTTACTGGTTTTAGGTGCAGCAAACACTGTGATTTTTTTATAGGATAAGAGTGACAAAGGAGAACACAGTCCACCTGATGGTAAGTGGTTGCTGCAGCCCGTAGACATCTATCCTCGATTACGAATCAAAATGCAGATGCGTTGTCACCTCTGGGGACTAAAATGGAATGCCTCATTTCCAGTAAAAAGGGTCTCCGGTTCTCTACACACACCATACGAACCACAGCAACGTTAAACTGCTATTTTACGTTGGTATTCTGTGACAGCGTGGTCCTTCCTCGGTCGATACGACCCATTCTTGCTGCAACTATACTACTAATATAGCTGCAACATGGCTCTAATACGTGAAATAAATTTCATGGCATGACATGAAACAGGAGGTATTCAATTGCACTGTAGAAACCTTATTTTTTTTTGTAAACATGTTACGTGATATCTCAGTCAATTGTGAACTGATTTTGATTTATATTTTTTTATCAAATAGGCTTTTCCCAAGGAATCAACATTTAAATTTGATATCACGAATTTAATTACAAGTAGCCTTTACACTGGTCAATAAGATATGCTTCAAAGACTGAACTTGTTTTCAATATAGCGTCATCTCATCTAGTCGTTTTAAGTTGTTTACTGACTCGAAGGTCAAACCGATCAAGAACATTTCTCACATTTGTTAGCTATTCTAATTGAACTGCTACTTTAAGTAACATGAACACTGTATCTTCACCTGATATTACGCCAGTCTATCAGATCAGGGCGGTTCCTATGTATGAGCGCGTTGAAGGCCAGTCCATCGCGCCAGGAAGACGTGAAGTCGGAGACCCTCACGCCGGGGTATTTCGCGGTGGAGCGACGCGCCCAGCTCAACAGCGCCTCTCGCGCGGTAACGTTCGCTTCTTGGCCCACTACGATATCCGAAATCTGAAAAAAAGAACAAACAGTAAATATTGGTATATTTGTACAAACTACTGCATTCCCTACTTCCCTACTTCTCAGTCACATGTTGGATGGGACTTAGAGGTCTCATGTTAATGTGGGACTCATTACAAAAAATAATGTATCAACCATGTTACTTATCAAGTGAGTTGTAAAATGGGATATTCTTCCCACCTATATATAACTTCTTTCATCCATCAATTTTCCATCTAAATCACAATCTTTTTTTTTAATGTTTACCAAACATACCAACTTATATAGTTTAAAATATTGACAAAAAAGGTTTTTCTTCTAACATGTGGATAATCTATTGTCATGTTTCATCATTCCATATCTTAATGAATAGTACAAACCTTAATTAGGTAAGTTGTAAAGTTAAAAAGCAAGAGATAAAGTGATAAATTAGCTAACTAGCCTATTGATAAGTGGCTGTAACCAGAAACCAACTCCACACAAAGAAAGCCATAGCTGTGTTATCACCCCTGTGCACTAAGACGTGTAGGACTAAGTGTGTCACTCACAGCCTAATTAAAAATACCATTACGGAACATAGAACACATTATACTATCACATTTAGGCAAGACTACATGTAAATACAGCGGGTGTAGTCTATTAGCAGAGTTAGCGATATAGCGATTTCTCTATTTCGCGCCGATGACGCCACCATGAAAGCGTTACCTACGTTACTAATTGTTCACCGCACTAAGATCTATCAATAATGAGTGATACATGTGTAATTTTCTATATCGCGATGAAGATAACATTGGCTTAAAGAAATTTAACTAACAATATATAAATTTTACATCGTTTAAATTACTAACGATTTCTAAACACGAACAATGAGTAGTGCATTTTATATAATACTAGCGATCCGCTCCGGCTTCGCACGGGTGGTTTCTGAACAGCGCCACCTACCGGGTTCAATTGTGAATCTAAACCATTCTCAAATCAACTTATTCACACACACAAAGTTTCATCAAAATCGTCCGCTTCGGAATTCAGTCACATAGACAAGGACAGAAGAATTATATAAGTACATGTATATAAAAATTTAACAGTCTTTAAACAATTCTCATTTCTCCAATCGATAAAAACTGTAATTGTTAGAATATAATAAATAATTAGATACTGTTAATTGTGTAATGATCCTTACGATCCTAAGTCTCGTCGCTGTCTTAATACTGACATGGTAAAAACAGTCGTATTAATCATAAATCAATCATATAAAGTTTGATGGCTCCAAATTATAATAGTTTTAATAAAGAGATCTTTTTCAAATCATCAATAACTATAAAACAGTCAGATACAGTCTTGATTTATCAGAGATAAGTACATGAAACTCTAATTATTACATCAATGAAATAATTTATGTTTAAACTGGATATCACTAGAGTTTATCTTTAACGCCAATCTTATATTTTACAGTTCAATTAAGTTAAACAGACGACTTGCCGTTATTTCACCAAATAATTTCATAGAACGTAGCAACCCTATTTAATTCCCAATGGCTCGACTGAAATTGACAGTCGCATTTTATATCTAAGATGCTTTAAATTACCATGTGCTTGATGATTATGACTCTGAGTGAATCGTCACGAAGAAACATATATCCCTGAAGAAATATATTGAGGGCATTTAAAGTCCGAAAATATGCATGAGATAGCGTAGCGGACTCTACTCTTCTTCAAATCTCACTTAGGAGGAGGCCTGTACCTAGATGTAAGTTGCATTGAAGTTTGAAGCTGGCTGCTGGTCTCCGTGGACCACTCTTATCATCAGGTGCACTGTAGTTTCGTTTGTCACTTTATTTTTATAAAATAAATAGAAGGCTGTAAAACTAACATGTGACTGATTTAACTGATGATAACAAGCATTAAAATAATTTTAATTTAGGGCGTAGTATGATCACACAATATTTTGATTTATAATTGATGCTGACAGAAGTGCAAAGTTGACCTATTTATTTAGGTATCGAGAAGTGAGTCTAGGCGCTAGCAGGTCATTAGCCCAACAGGCTGGCGAAGATCCAGCTACAATAATAAATAAGCAACTATGAGGAAGTGCAAAATGCTTCGAGCTCCTATGACGTGTATGAGAATATCTTTGACATTAGGAAGGAAACTATGAGGGAACATACGGGGAAACTTGGACATGGTAAATACAGATTTAAGCATTGAATTTATTTCAAACTAGCTGTTCCACGCGACTTCGCTCGCGTGTTAGGGTTTTTATTTATTTGCGCCGAACCCTAATTCTTTTTCTAAAATAAAAGTTAGCCTAAGTTACTCCTTATGATATCACTTTTATGATAAAAATTTTAAAACACGGAACTATTTTCAACTTTGGACTGTTTTCTTTTTATAAAAGTGAAACTTACAGTGAACCTGGATAGTAAGTGGCTACCGCAGCTCAAGGGCACATACAGCCAACTTCAAACAAAGAAGAGTACAGATGCGTGAGGATAAAGATGGAATGCCTCACCGCCTGTAATTAAACGGGCTCTCTATAATCTTAAGACCGGAATACACCAGTGCAAGCATTATTTTGCCGGCAGAAATGGGAAAGCGAATGGAACTTACCCAAGCGGTCTGTCTATTAATCAGAAGGAGTCCTACCACGTGGAATAATAATATTTATTTTTCTGTGATTTAAATCGACACATGTACTCGTACTTGTTTCAAATCCATCACAAATCAATTTTCAATATAAACCACAATAATGAAGATAGAGAAGTGACAATAATCACAAGAATAAATTATAATAACTACGATATAAGCGGTTATAAGATTGTGTAATGTGAGATATCTTTAACAACATGAAAACTACTAAATGGTTTTATACAATAAGCATAACTTAAAAGAAGACGGAAAGGAGAAAAACTTTTAAAGAATTACACTTTGTCACAAAAGTTTGTTCATTACAAGCACACTCGAGTGTATAATAAATCAAATAGATTTCCTCAAATCATAATGACAATCATCAACAAGCACCTCCTTAATTAATACCAATGACAACGATCATTTGGCCTCCAATAATTACTGGGTCACGGACTATTTATATTTTCTAAAAGAAAAAAATTAACATTACAGAACATATCATTTGCTGTAATTTATTAAATAGAGCAGTACCTTATTTTTTATTTGAATCTTAACGTTCCATTTTAAAAGATTGAACAAAAACACTTTGTATAGTCGACTTCAATGTAAATTCTTAAGGATAACTCAAAAACGAGTGGTCAGACCTTGATCATATCAATTTATATGGGACCGCATGAGAAATAACAGCTTTCAAATAAAAAAAGAATCATCAAAATCGGTTCAACTAGAAAAGATTTATAAGGTAACAGGTACAGTCGAATTGAGTACCTCCTCCTTTATGAAGTCGGTAGAAATGAATAGGTCTTTGAAAATATGTAATTTGTATTCATGTAGTGTGCAGGTATTATAATACAAATAACAATAAATACTTGTATGTCATCAATGATCGCATTAAAATATTTCGTGCATACAAATTTTAGATTAGGAATAGTTAATAATGGCACCGCTAGAATCTGATATCAATTATAAATTATTTTCTTAAAAACTAGCCATCCGCCGCAGCTTCGCACTTACTGAACCTCGAAAGTAGCGTCAACTACCGGGTTCTATTTTAAATCTAAACCATCCTGGGACTGGCTTAGACACACAAAAAGTTTCTTCAAAATCGATCGAGTTTCAATACAATTTTAGAGTTTGCGAGACTCGCGCCCTAATTAGAAGATATAGATATATAAAAAATTAGCTGTGACTTTTTTAATATATGGATGATGAATATTTCTAATTGAATTCGAAACACACATACAATGAAATAATGAATCGCTTAATTTGTAAAGCATAAGAGATACGCAAAGTTCAAGATCTCAAAAGAGTAGCTACATCAAGGGAAGACATTTATTATGTAGTGATGTGAAATTGCACTTCGATGACAATTTTATTATATATACTTGTACAAAATTAAACCTGCTTTCGTAAAAAAAAATTAATGGTTCAGTCGATTTACACATGCTACTGTTGTTGTATACAAACTACATTAAATCCAAATTGTGAAAAAGGGGTCAATACTAAAAAACGAAAAAGAAAAGTAATCAATATCAATATTTGAATGTAACAAACTTTAACAAACATCTATTGTCGGTTTTTGTACGATGATAAAAGAGAAAAACATTCTCTCAGCAGTAAGTGATAGAATTCGTTAATACGTTTCGCTATTATACCTACTCCTGTTCGGTATTATGGGACGACCACAATGTCATAAATCAAGTATGCGGTTTAAATATTTACTGTAGGTATGTTTAAATAATAATTTAAATGATTAAGTTTCGCTGTAATTTACATGCATTAAAATATTCATCGATCCATTACAGTCTATAATAATTACGCATGGCTCGCCTAAGTATTCAATCGTAGTTTTTTTTTAAAATTAAAGTGATTATTAGAACGGCGGTACTACACATTGCCAGGTTTGTTACCCACTGGACGATATGAGGTAGCGGATATGGGGATATTGATACCGTTTATCAATTTTCGCACAGACGTCTAAAATTTTAACATTAGACTCTTCACTTTTATCTTGATCTTCATCAAAAACCTTTACGTATCAGTTATTCAAGATCGTATGTAGGCGGATAAGTAACATGTAGTGTTTTTTGCTGTTATTAAGAGTACGTTTTTTTTTTTCAATCAAGCTCAACGCTTTCATAATACGCGTAGGATTTAATTCATTCATGTGGCTTGTTTATCATAAAATAGTAAAACGAGCGTGAATTTTTGTTAACTGGCTAATATATCCGGATTTGGATCGACTATTCCATATCAGATACAACTATGCATATTAACGAGAAACTTAATTTATATATAACGTAAAAGGTATGAAATTGCTAGAAAAGGTTTTTGTATGACACTGTTTATTTAAAAATATTTCCGCAAAACATAATATAAAATGTAGTG